ATCATCTTGCTTGGTACCCACACAGCACTCATCTTTAGCAAAACTCCTTAAAACAAAAAAAAACAAATGAAAAACATATCAAAGTGTTTGTGTATGTTCAGCCCTAAGTATCACTGATAACTACGAAATGATAAAGAATAGAGAATTAAGAAATGCTTAAAAGAACTGTATCTAAAAACATTAAAATAGTTAAACATCAAGATTCCATCATCATGCACTCAGGCACTAAAGCAATGGCACTCCCTCAGCAATTAAGAAGCCAACCAATAATTGTATTTGAAGTAAGTCTGTTGCAAAGACCAAAGTTTATTGCCACTGTACCACAGACAGGTACATAAGCCTCAACCTCCCTACTCACACTCTGCATTTGGAGAACACTACAAATCACCTTCATAAACCAGTAACTTGTCTTTCTTAATCCCACAGCTCATGGGGGTGCTTGAGGGGGACTGAGCAAACAGGTTTCCCCACAGCCCACCCAAGGTTCAGGCCACGCCTGGGCACTGCAAGGCACAGAAACAGCTAAGCCCACTGCATCCAGGTTTTACACACAGCCCTTTAACAATACACCCAAGCAAAACTGCATTAATTGAAGCCTGGTTTTGTTGTTTATAGATTATTTTAGACAAATGTATCGTGAAGAAGCTCTTACCTGCAGCAGGGCTCTCCTCTGGACACAATGACGGCAGCAGGCAGGCCTGCCAGGTGGAACGGGTGAACTGCCCACTCCTGGTACAAGGCTCCCTTGCTCATCACCAGGTGCCAGCTGGTGAAGCAACGGGATAAAAGAGAATGCAGGCAAAGGGAGCAGTGCACTTTCCTCCCTGGTCTTCAGTGGGTAGAAAGCACTCCACGCTTGTTTTGCCCACAGAAATAAAAGGCATAGCGACGCCACTGTTTCCTCCCTCTTTGTTGGGTCTGCAGCAGCTACAGGGCTCTCTGCGGTGCTTTGATCTGCTCAGGCAGGAGAGTGGCTTTGGATGCCTCTTTGCCCTCCATGATTTGTGTTCAGTTCCCAGGCTCCAGGTGAAGGGCTGGCAGTGAGAGCTGCTCCCCTTGCCCCGCAGCAGCTCGGACCAGCAAGGTGCAGTCACTGGCCGGGGAGCTGGGCAGCCTCCCGCTCCCTTTGCCAGCACTCCTCTTCCTGCCTCTTTCATCTTAGGTGCATGGCACGAGGAAAAGTACCAGACTGAAATGGAGTCATGATGTTGGTACACTATGAAAAGAAGTTATATGCCCCACAAAACACATTTCAAATGAGGAAGTCACTTTCTCTTGCCTCAGTTAGTCAAATTTTGCCAGATCTCTGCAGAGTGACTACAGCTCAACAACATTTTCATTTACTCCAGATACATTTAAGTTCAAAGGCAGGTCAGAGTGGCACTGGTGTTTGTCTGAAAAATACTGTAAATCCAAGTTTTGTGTCAGAAAAGTAAATCCAGCTAAAGATGTAAGAGCACAAGATGAAAAATACAGTGCCTTTAAAATATATCACCACATGAGCCCTGAGGACATCTAAATCAACTGTAGTACTGGCAATATGAAAAGCATTCAATAATTCAAGCACTCTGGGCCATATGTCAGCCTTAACTACAGATGAAAGTTATCTTTCCTTTTTCTACTTGATCACTGAAGCAGGTTTCTAGTTAAAATCTCATCTGATACATTTTCTTCTTTGTAAAATGCAATGTAGGCCTCAAGTGACTACTGCACAACTAAGCAGTTCAGAAAATAAACTGCAGACTGATCAAAGGATGCACTGAGAGTGATTTGGTGTCCACAACATGCCTCCTGTGGGCCTCTGACGCCAGCCGCACTTTTTATTTATTCCTATCCTCAGGTGTAATACGAAGTTTGGAAGATCAGGAGACAGAGAGCTGGTAAAGCTTCAGTCTCCTCCACCCTGGGCCGCAGCCACCAGCTATTTCACACAGCCCCACGCTCCATGCACAACCGGTAGCTCTGAGGAGAACCGAGCGAGCTCTAGAAACTCACAGGTGACTAAAAATGAGCAGCAAATCTCTCCTCTGCTTTCTACAACCAGCGCCCGTACTCCCAGGCCCGAGGAGAGGCCGCGCTCCCGGCTGCCCTGTGGGGCGGGCAGCCCCCAGGCCCGGGACACCGCTTCGGCTCCGTGACGGACAGATCGGCCGGCTCCCGGCGCCACACTGAAACGACCAGGCCGCTTCTTCCATAAGAGAAGCAGTATCAGCCATTTTACAATGAAGTAGGACTTCAATATTTACCTGTTCGAAGTTCTGTTTACCTTTTTTTTTTTTTCCTTTACTCACCTGTATGGGGCTGCACATCACACTGTTCTCGCATGCTCCCCGGTATTGTGAATGTTTGTTAAGGGCCACTGGCCTTTTTAACCAATTTAAAATTGAGCACACCTCAACCAAACACCTCTCTGAAGGATAAATAAGTATTTTTATTTGTCTGTAATGAAGTTTAAGACCATTTCCAAAAGTCTGCAAATAGCAGGACAATGAAAGAAGTACCTAAACTCCTCTAAGCAGCTCAGAATTTTCCTCAGAAAAATAAATTCAAAGTCTACAACTCATTTAGTGAACAACATTCTACAAGGCTTGGGTTTGGGTTTTTGTGTTTCACAAGTGCTTATTTTTGTTGTTGCTTGTTTTGGTTTGGATGGGGTTTTTGTTATATTTAAATGAGTGAAGTTTCAAACATGATTTCCTTTGTGCGCAGGCATGCTGAGTTTAGAACTTCTAGGTTTTATTTTTCTCTAATTTCACACCAGTAAGGCTACTAACTTAAACCTATTTCTCTTGGAAAGTAAACATCCACAGAAACGCCCCATTTGTATCCAAATGCAGGTGTAAACTGTTTTTTCCTTGGTTAGCTCCCTTAAATTTCCTTTTCACATGTGAAGTCAGAGGCTCAAGCTGACTCCTAAAATGGCAACATAACACCCCTTTTCATTTCTTTTACACACCTAACTTCTGATCTTTACAGTGCAGATACATACTTCTTTCACTGTTTATTCCCTTAGAATACTTAATTTTAGCACCTTCCCCATGACACAGAGGGATTAAGGTTTATGTGCACAAGGTGCCAGCTCTCCACTCATTGTTGGAGCCCACTGTGGGGTCAGCAGGACCTGATCAATCCCTGCACGTGCCAGAGCAGCCCAGCAACTTCCCACTCCCAGCCTTTGAAAAGAGAGATTTTTATGCCATGACAGGTAACTCCAAGTTCACCTCAAAACCTCAACTTCAAGTGTTAAAAGAGAGAAACCCTTAAATGATACAAGTTATTACATTAAATCCCTTTGGGGGAAGTGGGGAATGATTTTGTGATTAAGGACCTACTGTGGGGCTCAAGAGAATTAGTTCAATTCCGGGCTCTGAAACACGCTTCCAGGTCCCCCTGGGAAAGCCTATGCAATCTCCTATCTCACATGGACACCGGCAGGATAATTTATAAGTGCATGCAGCCCTCAGACATTGTGGTATCAACAGCCAAATAAATGCATAGGTAGGAGTTAGATGGACTGCAATCATTGAGGACTAGCTAGCTATCCAAAGAGGCCACTATCATTAGACTACCACTTACCACAGAAGTCATACCTACATTTTAAAAAACAGATATTAGAGGGAGACTTGAAAAATAATAAGTTATACTATTGGGCTGACAGTTAGTTCCTAATGGTTTTAGCTAATGCAATAAGTGAATGAAAAAAGCTGCAAGATAAAAATAAGTAGGCAGGTCTTGCAGAAAGACACCACTTGGTTCTTAAGCACAGAACTATTTTCCAGAGTTTGCACTACAGGGAAATTTTGATCAATTAAGATCTATACTTGGTATTGTTTCTTGGTGAAATTAAATTTATGAAATTATTTAATTTGTAGAATGAACAAATTCAATAATGAAAACTCAGCTGACATGAGTTATGAGAGCAAATCAAGCAAGCACTATCAGAAAAACATAATATTGAAGTCACCATGTAATGTTCTAGACAAAGTGCTCTACCACACAATCCAGTGAAAACATGAGACAGCCTAACTTGCAAGACGAACAAAAAGAATTACCGATAAGCATACATGTTAGTTCTTTGCTATTTACTACCAGCAGAAATTTTCCCCTACAATTATGAAAAGCAGTTACCATACACACCAGAAATATATAAAATAAAACTACTCCCCATTTTTGAAGACACTGCAGTCATTTAAAAATTTTACTCATTTCTGAAAAAGTACTGTGCCTATTATGGTTGTAAGTAGTATCTATGATGTATTTAATGTGTTACAGAAGTTGCTTTCAATAACATGTGCTTCATATACTTCTAAACTATTTTCTCTATGAAAATAATTGTCTCTTTCAGAAGGTGGAGAAATCCACAGGAAGTTTTGAACTAGTGCTTTTGGCATTGTTCCTTTATGTTCAATCTATAAGCAGTAATTTATTCTTGATATTAATTATTTTTGCAAAGCGTCTACCATTTATTTTGCATGTACTAAATCCAAGTATACCTGATATTTCAGTAGAATGGCTGTTAAAAATATATAAATCTGGTATTTGATTGGCTTGTATGTAACCATAGATTAAGGTGGTTCTTCACATAAATTGACTTGATTGCTTTTCTAACTACAACTATCTCAATATTTTCCTTGATTTTTCCACTGTTATAGCTTCAAGTTATAATGTAAGTAAAACCAGTTCAAAATACAAAAGCCCCCAATTCCAAGCAAATTGAATATTCAAGAGATCAATATAAAACTGTTTGAATGCTGTCAGTTACTAGGTGAGCAAGTAACACCAACAATTCTGTTGTTGTCCTTTTAGTCAGTCCTTTTACCTTCATCAAAATGTAAAAACAACCGATGGACTTTCCATGAATTTAGAGAAATTCCACCCATCCCATCCAACATGCACAGAAAGTCAGGTCTGACTGGACCTGCTCATTCTGACTTGAATAGTCAGATGAAGTTTAAGCACAAAGTGAAATTGGTGACAACTGTATATAAAAAAAAGTAACTTTATTTTGCGACTGTTTAGCAGCTTTTAACTTAAAATTACAAAAGTACAACACTGATATTCATGAACATTTGTTTTAACAGAAAAGCCTTCTCAAATTTTTCAGAAGTTCTCACAGGCTGGAGTATGACAGAAGGTACAATGCACACGTGGTTACAGGACTTCCACTATTGCCAGCACTGTCTTCTTAGTCATGCTCCCCATCGGTGATGTACTGGTTTGACATGAATAGCTGTGGCAAAATACAATATATATTGTAAGAAAGTTGTAGTTTCTGTAGCCGGTCACCCTCCCCACATCTACTTATATCTAAAAATCTATTCCCCTCTTCCATCAGTGAAAGGCTAATTGCCATCTTGTTTCATTTTACTGTACTATCAAGCCTAATGATTTGCTACAAGCTTTTGATTGTTTCATGTCTTCAAATAGATAATCTAACATCAACTTCTCACTTCAATGCAAAATATAGTCCAATATCCTATTCCTTTTAAGTATCCTGCATACCTGAGTGAGGTTTCAGGCGAGGGCCAACTGCAAAGCTAACATACTACTCCAGCTGATACTGTGCTGCAGAACACTGTTAAAATGAAAAGGTATGTCCTGTCCTAATGTTTGATGCAGTCATACATACTCATTACCACTGATGGGTGCATATCTCACCAATTCTCATCTCTGCCCACACACTTCTTCCTTGTATCCAAGGTAAATCTTTATTACAAATAAAACCAATTACTTCTTATTCTATCTACAGTGAACACAGAAAAGTTCTCTTCTTTATAACCTTAAAAGAATCAACCCATGCCAAGAGGAAAAGCTTTGAAAAAAACCCACAATTCCTCTAATAATCTTTTATAGTTCTGATAACACCTTTCAGATTATGTCAGCTAACAGCTACTGCGCACTCTCAGACAACCCCATAGCATTGCATGACTAATAAGCAGTAAAAACATCCACTTCAATTTCACAACTAGAGAAGCACATCAGTATATTTTTTATAATATATTTTATATGTCTGTAAAATACAGGAATGGCAAATTATTCACACATTTAACCATCATGCTTGGTTATGTAACTCCTACCAAGGAGGAAAACCTTCACTCCTTAAATAGGCTGAAAAATACACTGAAAGCAGCAATCACCTTGCCTTGCAAATCAAATCAAATATGAAACATCACTTGTCTGCTCCTCTCCAAGCACTGACTCTCTATGGAGTACAAGCTCGAGCTAACTCTAAGCCCCTTCCCTCCTCTCCGCACCCTTGTGACCATGGCTGTTCTGAAGACTCTGTTCTCATGCAACAGTCAAATTATTGATTAACACCAAGAAGCTCACAAGTACAGAGAGCAGCTGTGACAGGCATTGTAGCTAGATTACCAGAAACCATTACCTGTGAGAGATGGTCACTATGGGTCAACCTCCCCCTTAAATTACGGGAGAAAATTGTTTTAATGGACTCATTTTCCTTTCCCCACATGTCTACAAAAACAAAGGCATAGCCCTACAGAAAAGCTAGCTAGCCTTTCCACAGCCCAGAAGGTATTTCCCTCTCATGGTCAGCAACCCTGCAAGCAGGGCACATGACTGCTTAGAGTCTTTAATTACTTCATTTAAACTGACTGCGATCTACCTTTTCACTGAGAGTCATTTGAACTACAGCGATTCAGAAAAATATTTTTTTTCCATTCTGGAAGAGTTTAAAATGAGAACTTTAAACTCAAGTGGTGATATAAGAAAATTACTTATTTCCCATTTAGCTTTCATTTGTTTCTTCAGCTGTCTTAGAAATCAGTCCTTCTTTGCCTTTCCCAACAAAAAAAAAAAGTATTTAAATCAGGAAGTATGCATTATTTTTATTTTACATATACAGCAATATCTAATAATTTTTTCTACCTATTTTAAATTCTAAATACTGTAGTTATAAAGTATTGTATTTCTACTGTGAATAACATTTCATTTTGCTTGGATGACAACAGTAACAACCATACAGGCATCTATGTAGTAAGTACCCTGGCTATCATGAAAAAGCCAAAGAAACCCACTGGACTTGTATGCTCTAGAAAGCAGTATCTAATTATTTCAATGTAGAAACAGTATCCTTCAGGCTGAGACTGGCTTGAAGAAAGATGGCCATTGTTTTAATTAATTAAATGAAATAAAGTTCTCCAACTATAATAGGTGTATGGTTGACAGCACTGCAAAGATTTTAACCAGAAATTACTTACTGTTATTAAACCAAACAGCTACAGAGCTTTGTCACTCTCATCTGTGTCCTGGATTCAGCTGGGATAGAGTTAATTTTCACAGGAAGTTAGGAAGGGACACAGCCAAGACAGTGGACCCACACTAGCCAAGGGGGTTATGTGATACCATATGACATCATGCTCAGTATATAACTGGGGAACCTGGGATCATGGCTTGGGAACAAGCTGAGCGCTGGGTTCCAGGTGGTGAGCAATTGCACTGTGCATCACTCCTTATATTTTTTTTATTAATATTACTGTTATTTCTTCTCTCCTTGTGTTGTCCTATTAACCTGTCCTTCTCTCAACCCACAAGTTTTCACCTTTTTCTTCCAATTCTCCTCCTCATCGCACCGGGGGAGAAGTAAGCAAGCAGCCACATGGTACATAGTTGCCAGCTGGGCTTAAACCACAACCTGGCATTGGCAAAAGGCCAGGTGTCCCTCCAAGCAGTGGCCATTCTGCAGGTTGATGTCAAGAATATCCCAGAAGTCCAAATCCTTTGGCAGGTGTTAAAAGGAGGAATATTATCCTTTGCATCTGACAGTTGGAAATGGTTTTTGGTTTTTATTGTCAACTGTTTTAAAACAAACTGAAAACAGGACTCTGTGAGGGTCTGAAAACATCAGGCTTAAGAAATGCCAGTTACCTATCTGAAAGCACTGCAGACAAAGCAGTGACTCCACATACCAACAGATACAAATGCCTTTATCATTCATAGTGCCCTACTTTAAAAGATGTACAACCACTGAGCTACAAGTATAACCTTCCTGTACATATTTAACAACAGAGCACACTGACCTGCAGTGTCACTAATCTTAGCAGGAGCACACTACAAAGTAAAATTCCCTGATATCAATGTTAACCTGCACACGCAAGTCAAAACACAAACTGACAAACGAAGTACAATTGATATGGAAAGTTGAAGCCAGATTTTATTTCTGAGTGATTTTGTCATGACAAACATACTAGATGTCATCTGAGGCCGGTTTTAAGCAAGGATTTAATCCATGACCATAATGCAGGTCACTAGTTTTCATACAGTTTGCAACTAGTATTCATTCCAAGGAATCAAACTCAGCACTAACATCAATAGCTATGAAGAGTGTACATCTGGTGTCTTTTCACACTACCATTTAATAAAAGAAAATAATCCAATTAAGCAGTTGTCAATATTTTTTGCTGACTTTCCTATTTATTTCAATCATTAAAGCAGCATTTAATTTACAACAAAGCACCACACTCTAAAACCTGAACCGCCCTCACCGTTTCTGCTGCCCTTTTGGTTTTCAATGAGCTTCAGTAACTCAAAAGAATTGCAACCAACTTGATAACTAAAAAAGAAAGCTTTGTAGAATGGGAAAAGTTCACAACAGAGGAGAAAAAAAAGCCTTTCTAAAATAGCCAGGTGTTCACCTCAACCCATACCAACTTCAAACAGATGTAAGGACGGTAGTTGAATCTGATTTCAGACTAAGGACATGAAAGATAAGCTTTATATTCTTATGCTTTTATAACGTTAGAACGAATTCATTTTTAGATAAAGAATAGTATACTCCCCTACTCTCCTATTCTTTCACATAAAGTTTGCTCTGAAAATAGCATAGCTGAGTTCCAGTCTTTCAACTATTATTTGATCACTGCCAAATATTTGCAAGTTCAGATTTTCCCACATCCCACCCATCTACTTGATTGCAGTTCACGTAGTTTCTACTATGTTTTGTTCTACTTTTATTGAGTAAATGTACTATGACAAGTGATCAAGTTGGTCATGAAAACAGAATGAATTACTTTGAAATACAGAACTGACACAGCATTGGAAGAACAACACCTGGCAGTACCACCCAAATGAAGGTTTAACCTGAGGAAAGTTGACAGGCTGGAGAAAGCAACCCTGCTTGGGCAGCAGCAGAGGTGGAAGTTTACTTAAGGTATGGGTGGCAGTGCTTGTACATAGCCTTGCATCCTCACGAGACATTGCATCTCCAACTTCAGTTGAAAGATCAATCTGTTCAAGAAGGCTTAGTCTAAATGAACAAAAGTGGTAGGCAATTCTTCAGAAGACATTAAGAACACAAGCAGAAGCCTGCAAGAATCTCACTATTCCCTTATAAAAGGGGATGCGATAATTTTCTGTAGAGTAGCTCTTAAGATCAAAATGACACAGATATTCCAAGTCTATAATTTACATGTGTGGCTTTTTTTTTTCCCTTTTAGAGATATTCTGCTGGATTTTAAACTTCAATTAAAATAAGTTTATACACCATTAAATTACTGAACTCTGAAACGAAGAGTTGCATTCTGCTTAATGGACTGATGGATATCACTAACCTAAATGCATTTATGCGTACAGCACTATTAAAACTCAATACATAAATATAATGTAACACTCAACAGCATTAGCAGGTGATCAAATACTCACTTTGCAACCATGACCTGTGAGAGATCAATTGCCCATTAGGGAATTTGTGTATATGTCCTTATAATGTATCTAGTTTTGTGAAGAATATATGCACCCTGCTTCCTGATGCACATGCCCATTAAGACACACACTGGCACTTTATACACAAACTTTTGCTCTCTAGTGCCTAACATTTATTTACAGATTATTTATGTGGAAAGTACCAATGCTTATTTACATCGGATTTAAAAGATGCTTAAAGTGGTATTTCAGTGGGAAAAAAACATTAATACCTTCAATCATATCTTTTCTGGTCTTTGCATAGTCACTTACTGAGTTCATGCCCACCTAATCCAAGCATTTCCCTGCGCTTAACAGAACTATGTCTAATGCCCAGAGGCACAGTGTACACCTCAGAGCTCCTGTGCTAGGCAGTCATCTACCTTACCAGCTGCCTTGTGTAAAACCCTGGTACACTCCTGTTGCTCACACTCAGCAAATATATTCCCAAAAGCTTCAACTACAAGAGCCAGTGCATCCTCCAGAGGCATGTTATGATATACTACAGAGAAGAGATAGCTGGCTTTATCAAGCTTGTGTTTTCATCTACTTCACACATTTACAAAAGAAAAGAAAAATATAGCTGTTAAGTCCGTGCAACGTAACTGAGTGAGATTTTTAAAACCTTCAGTTCAGTATTGATAGAGACTTCCAGGAGCTGCAGAGGTTAGTTTTGATTTAGCACCAGTATATGACCTTCATTTGAAATATAAATAAGAAGTTGTAATTTCTCCTTCCCACTGTCAAAACATTATTGGTCAATCATGATCTAAAGCTAAACTGAGATAAAGATTCCCAATTCCATACAAAGACTTTCACAAACACCTATACCTGAAATAGGATTAGTACAGGCTTTTTTTTTTTTTTTTTTCCTTAATTCCAGAGTATTTTTTACTTAACTGGAGAACAGGGCAGTTACTTTCCCTCCAGGAGAAGCTGCCTTTTTACCACTGTGTTCTTGATATAAAAAAACATGTGAAATTTGTAAATTTACAATAAATTTCTGAAACAAACACAGATAAAAAGTTTAAGAAGGATTTTGAGTCATTTTCAAATAATCAATGCAAGAAAGTGAAATTTTAATTAAGCAATTTCTATATAATTTCCCATCATTAACTATTGCATGTGGTAGTTTGTTGCATGCATGTTATGCCATTTAAGTAACAACCCTGGACAGATATTTATTCACTCTATGTATTATGAATTATTAGAAATTAATTCAGTGAACTATTTCAAAGCTGTCTTATTTTAACTAGGTCAAGTTCTGTTATCCAGGAATCAGTGTTGAAAATTCTAATGGGTTGAAAGAAATTTAAACTGCAGATCTGAATGGGGACTATTTTAAGTGAGATGTCACAAGCTAAACTTTCTTCTGATAGAATAATGAAGAACAATTACAGTGCAAGAGGAAAGCGCTTCATTGGGCTGTTCAAGAACACAAACCCATTTTTAACTTCTTGGTGTACATGTGTGAGGTCAGACTTATGTAAGGTGTATTATTTCTGCCACAAGACCAGGCTTTTTAACTGATTCCTTACAACTCGAACATATTCCCCTGAAGTTGGTTATATACAAATAAAAGTCTGTCGTTGTTTCTCACTGCTGTGCTATTGATGCCATCTTGTATGCACCAGAAGCCACAAGTATCAACTCCAGTGTTGAGGTGTAAAAAAAACCACACCCACAAAATAGTGTGCTCATTGAACAGATACTTCCTGATATTGTAGGAAGTGTAATTGTGATGTCTATTTTAACCCACAGGAATTTGAAATTATTTGTCAAAATACAGTAGGAAGCTGTAATAACATAAAAGGAAGGGTTTTTTTTAGTGATTCCTGCTTGATCATATTTTAGTGCTGGATTTGAGAGTGAAATATACAAATTATTGAAATTATTTATATTTAGCATTTGATTCTCTCACCATCCCAGTATACTGGGGAATATTCAACTGAAAGGAATATAGTCTGTTATGAACTATTACTCTGACATTAGTGTAATTTTGTTAGTAGCCTTTTTTTTCAAAATACTGAAGATAGAGGCGCAAAAATTGAGAGTAGTGATCCCTATGTTCTGTGGATAGATGCTAAACATGATCCTTTAAGAATTTTACTGATATCTTGATTTTAGTCTTGTAGACTTGGAAGATCACGTTTCTTATTGATAACGCTATAGAGAGATATGGAAGTCACAAGCTCCATTTGTTTCACCGACAAAAAAAGTTTGCCAACACTAATCCTGAAATTACCAGTGGGACAGTAGACAGTCAAGGAAGAACTATGGCTTTTTTCCATATACTGTAGTACACCCACTTGGTATAAAACACTTTGCTACAGGGAGGAAGAGAAATGAAAGTTCAAACATCAAAGCAGGAATAAGGAATTCAAAGGTGCTACAGTTTAGATATCCTGTCCTCTAGATAGCCCTCTTACATGAAGAATGAATTGGGTGTATTTGAGTGGTTAAGATCTTCGTATTCAAGTTGACCCAGCTCACCTCCAGAAGATGAACAGCAACATAATGAAAACTAACTTTTCCAGGATTAGACACACTTGTGATAGAAGTTTCTCTTCTGTTTAACAGAAGGTTACTCTGAATTCATTTTTCCAAAGTTCTTCTAGTTTTGCTTCAAGTACTAAGAACTAGAGACTAGACAAAATAAAGTTCTGTGCACTTGAAAGTCCTTTTTATACAACCAACTTCCATTTTTTCCTTCTGTTGGCAACAGTGAAAGCAATCTTTCAAATTAGAAAGGTATCTGACATGCATCAAAACCTGCAAAGATTACTCGGGCAAAAATAGTATCTGAAACTACTTTTAGTATGTCTAGATAAAGAGACTGCAAAATCCAACCAAATGCTGCAAGGTGACCTTTAAAACAGAGAAGAGAAATTATGATTGGATTAAAATCAGACTTAGTTCTAAAGTCATTTTAAGTAACCTAAACAGATCCCTCATGGCTGTCATACTCCAAAGCCTGGGAGATAAGACATTTTAGGACTAACTAGAAATATTAAGGAGATCCAGAAACATTAAATAGACATGATCTTCAAACATTATCTACATATTTGCAGGGTCACATTTCTGAATCGGGTTACACTTATGTAATTATCTCAGAATAAAAAAATCTTAATAGAAACCCACTTTTTCTACTTGCTGATGGCAACAATGACAGTCAGAAGGTATCTCATTCATTCTGCATCTGTTGGTAAAACTGCAGTTACAGCTTCTCTCTACAGTCATCCCTGGTGCCGTCATCTGCAACCAAGTGAAAAAAATCAATTAAGCAGCAGCACAGACTGCAAAACTATATTAGAACATCGCCAAGTCTTCACTACTTTACCATTTAACAATACTGTCAAAAATTATAAAAATAGTTCTTTGAAGCAAGGGTTTTCTTTCCCTTTTCTTTTTCCCTGAGGAAATTTGTTACAGACATGCAAGAAGACATAAGAAACATGGTTTAACTTGGCCACATACTTCTTCAAATTAATCTACTGAGAACAGCCCATTCATCTATTCCAACCCACAGAGGATTATTTTTGTCCAATTCTCTCTTGACTTTTCTTCCATTTTGATGCAGGGACTCAAATCTCACTCCAAGGGAAGGCAGTAAGAGACTAGGAAAAGCCACCAGACTTCTTTATTTTGCTACAGCCAGACACTGGGAGCTAAACTGGAACATTTTTTCAGCTCTGTTACAGAACACCTTTCCTAAATACTTTAAGAGCCATGTTGAAAAAATATTCACACTGGACACACATCAGAATTGAGCTTGCTTGCCTCTCTCCAACATCTAGCCACCTTCTAATTTTTTTTGATCTGAAAATCCCTACGTGAGTTTGGTGGGTAAGCATTCATTCTCCTCTCCTGAGCTGAGCATTATATGTTCACACCCCTATTGCTCACCAGCTTGCCTGTACAAAAAAACAGGTAGTGAATCAAGCAATATCCCTGTTGTACCTTCTTGTAAGAACTCACAGACTGGGTACAGGTAAATCCATAAGCGACCCTGAAACTCAATTAGCAATTATTCCTCACACAGATCTTCCCACATTCTACAACATACACACAATTCATAAACTTGTCCTAGATAACTTGGGATTAACAACTTCTTTAGATAGTGACAGAGAACTTTCATAAATATTCTTCTCTACCCTGAAGGGAAGCACCTACATATTTTTGCCATTGAGTTCTAGCAGGAATTAAATTTGTTTCTCGCATTCCTACTCAGTTTCTTTCTATTATCCCAACCCCTTTTATGAGTTAGATCTCCCCATACACCTAATGCAAGCAAATATGGGTGTCATTGTCAAAACATTTTTCTCTTCCACCACAGGAACATGAATTCTTAAAGTATCTGCCTTCCCTGAAGTTCCAGTATAACGGCCCGTGATAAATATCTACTCAGTCTACTGGGAACCCAAGAAACCCCTGGTGATACAAAAAGTGCTGCAGTAGAAAACCAGGCCAGAGATCTTTTTCACCTAATCCTAGTGTAATCTGTAATGCAATCTCCTGCCATACTCCCACATTTTATAAATTTGCTGGATTGCATCCACAGATTCAAATGCAACTCATGTTCCCAAGTGCGCTGCTATACCTGGATATACCTGCCAACTTTCCCTGGGACATGGTACCCTGTCCTATTGACCACAACAGCTTTTTGCTACACTAAGAATTAATCTATCAGCTTTCAGAGGCCACAAAGCAGAAACATGCTTATTCAATAATTTACACCACAAGTTCTGTGAGCATCATTCAGAAATTCAAGCTTCAACATGTATCCCAGATCCAAAGAGTGCACCTCCTGAAGATAACCAGTTACGATTTTTCTATAATGATTTAAGGCTACCACCACTAGACCTGGAAGGGACACTGACAGGTATTATGAACTTGTCTGTCAACTATAGAAAAGTGCATGCTGTAAAAAGGAATAGGAGCTAGTTACTATTCTTACCTTTTTAGGAGTACTGGTATCTTATATTAATCTTCTTTCCCTGTCAAATGCTCATATTGCTGCCCAAAAACTCTTCAAAGCCAAGGAGAAAACTTGATTTGAATGCACTCTTCTCCAAGTTAAAATAAAAGGCCAGTTCATGCAAAATATTTTTCTTCCATGCTTACGGGGGAAGTTAAATTAATCACACATATCAATTTTCAAAATACTGAGTGTAAGGGAATGCTGCTAATTGAATGTGTATGTTTCACTAAGACTGAAATGATGCAGAAGACTGTTCCTAAAACTCATACAAGCTCATTTTGCATTAGCAGCTACTTGCTTTTCTTGCTATTCTGCATTTTCTGTTCCTCACAGCATCTACAGTTATCCCACCACAGAAGTTCTCCATATTTCATGGGGATATATAGCATCCTTTCCTTAAATATAGACAAGACTAATAAATTATTTTGAAAACTATTTTGTGCTTTCTTAGAAGGATAAAAGGCACATTAGCCTGGCACAATGTTTTAATACTGGATTTTAAATAGTCTTCTTTAGAAGACTACTTTCTTCAGCATTGAAACTTCTAGCTTACAAATTCAAAGACTTAATCAAAATGAGAATATTTAAAACAACTGGCAAAATCATTAGTTGCACTTCTAGAAAACATAGTTTAGCAAGAGAGGTTACTCCAGCATACCACTTACAGACATCTGTGGACTAACCAATTAAATTGCTAAAAAGAATAAATATCTTGGTAAGATCCTTTTGCTCTTAAGTATCCTATTTTGAAAACCACTCTCCTACTTTGGATTGTAAACACTTGCAAGATCTTTGCTAAACAGACAAAACAGAATGGGTGAAATAAAGCCTTACTTTATATTCCTATTTTTTATATCTATGTATTTTTATTCTTATTCTACAGATTGGAAAATAATCAGCAGTAATTGATGGTTATTTGTTGTAACTATTTGTAACAGTCACAAAAATGGACAGGTATTTCATTTTATATGGTTAATTCTTATACTTAAAACCAAGAAAATCCATTTAGAGATATAAAAAAAAAAAAAACAAAACCAAAAGAAAAATACTTTATATCACAGGTAGGAGATCAAGTTGCAAATAGAAGGCCAATCCGCTAAAATTAGGCCAAATGTAAGTTAGTTTTGTCCTCAGTACAGTGACATTCCTCTCAAGCTATGCATCTCATTCTTTTAAATCACTTCCTGGTATTCTAAAATGTATTAATAACAAATTAATAACATAATGGTTACTTAACCATAGCTTGACCTGAGTTAGAAGATGTTAACACTCGAGAACTTTTTCAAGCTTATTTTTAATTTGATTGTACACTCATCATTATCTATAGAGCTAAATGTAGTCTCTAGTGGAGGAGTAAGTTTCTCTTACCACTAATAGAAAGAAAAAAATTATTTAGGAAAAGAGGTAACTAATTATAAAATCCCCCAAAATTGCAGGATGATGCCAGAACAAGTAATATATGTACATATGCATTCTGAAAAACAGAAGAAAAGCCCTGGTTGCTGTTGAAACAAAGCATAACATGGGACAACAAACTTTTCAAAAAATTATTATCTAGAATTAAGCCTGTATACCATAGAAGTTGTTGATTCAAATAACTACAAGAACATCCACTCTTTTTCCACAAACTCAGTAACCAGGTACCTGTAAGAGTGCTTTGGAATTCAATCTCAAAGAGCAGAATCTAGAACGTGGTAGGCTTTAAGGCATATTTTCCTTCGATATTTTATCTACTCATATGACCAGATTACTACTAAAATTAATGTATATTGCTGCTGTAAGATACAAATATTTTTCTGTTAAACACATAGGATGTTCAAAGCCTTGAATATCTATCTACGCTACTGAAAGTTTCTTACCTATTCAGATCTTCAAAATCCTTTGAATAATTATCTTGGGAAGAATAACTCTTCTAACATGATTTGTAAGGATTTATACCTAAATGAGATAAGAATATGAGGTTAGGTATATGTTACCAGAAAAGTCTTTTAAAACTTAGAATAATCCAAAGTGTTAAACAATGATAAACACATTTAATAGATTTTCATACTATATTTGTTTTTTAAATAGTATCCTATCAAACAGTGATGTAATATTACTCTTTCTTTAACAAGCTCTAAGGTGATGTGAAAAGGTCGTGTTTCCTTATTTGGGTTTGCCTAACAATACGCTACCCAGGAGCTCAGTCAGTTCCTCCTGACATTGTTTAAATAAAGCCTAAAAAAGTACACTGACATCACAACAGTCATCGCAAAAATTTGAAAGCACAGGGGCACCTTTTGAGCCAAGATTTCTGCTTATACAAGATCCTTCTAAAGTTTTTGCTTCATCCATTTTCCCTTGAGTAAAGAGGAACTGAACAGTTTACGGCAGGAAGAGCCTTTGTTAAGCATCAGCAACCTACAGGCTCTAAAGCGACTTATTTCATTTATTTCCTTCCCATAATGATATGGCATTTGTACATCAATTAGACATTCTAAATTAAGCATTACAGTATTGAAGACAGACCTTACTGAGAAGTTATATCCTGAACTCACCATGTGAGCTTGCCGTAAGACAAACTCGCACATACTTGCTTACCTCACCCTGTACAAAAAGACATCTTTAATGAATACAGCTTTGTTAGGAAAGTCAGTTTTGGGGGAGGGTGGTGGTGTGTTTGTGTTTTGTTTTTTTTTTTTTTTTTTTTTTTTTTTCTTCTTTATATTTCTATTGCAGTGGTTATAAGGATTCTCCAAAACAGAGCTGGGATATGTTGTGTTCTATTTATTAACTGCTGCACTTCCCAAAGATCCTATGTTCTAGGGCAACAGACATACAGAGGGCACTACAGAGGAAATTGTCTAATGCATGTATTAATGCAAACATACATGTGATAGCTGTAGGGGTGTGTGTTTTGTTTGTTTTTGGCTTTTTTTAAAGGTACTGATAACCTAACTGACCACAAACAATTAAAGTATCCGTTTTGCTTCTATATTTTATCTAGAAACATTGTGTTTTTCCTCAAAAGATGATTAACCAAAAATCTCAAGAGAAATTATCGCCCAATTCTGTGGTATAACTGCAATACTACTGAGAGAAGAGCAAGGAAAGTTCACTTAACAGAGGCACTGTCATGTTCTTTCAGAATATGCTCTTTTGGAAGCAGGTACACAATGAAGCAATGTGAGAGGAAAAAACCCATAACCAGACTTGTGTTTTTGTGGTTATTTTGTTTGTTTTTAATAAAAATGCACTTATGCTTGGAAGGGATCATTGTTTTGCAACAGTAGTATCAAACATTAACAGTAGAGGACGAGCAGACAGCCGAATGCCAACAACCCTCAAAGCAGCTACTGTGAATAGGATCTCAGGCTGGACAAGAAAATGCCCCAAAACATGGTTGAAACCAGTAAGAAATACAGCATATCCTGGCAAGAGAAGGTATTATATGGCTCATCATTTCAAAAGCCAACAAACTTCCTACTCCCATGTCTAGCACAAAGTAGACTGAGCAGAAGAGTTCAAGCAAGCGACCAGACGCCAACTTTCAGGAAGCTGCCAGCCCTATGAATGTAGCTGTCACTGCACCACAACCCATCCTACAGCAGCACGGACGCCTTCGGGGTACACCACGCACAGCAGCTGCCAGCCAGGGAGGGAGAGGGGGACATACCTGGGGGGAATGACCAGGCAGACAGGAACAGTGGCCTCTCTACCTCTCAAGGTCTGTCTACCCACAGTGCGGATATGCCACAGCTATATCCAGAAGGAAGGAAACAAGTTCAGCTTTCAGTCTTGACTTCTCTACATTGTTAATAGCAGTTTGGTTTTCCTATGAGCCTTTATTATTATAATGTAATATCTTTGTCGTAAATTTAAGATTTCCAAATAAAATACCCTTGTAGCAAACACATAACTTCAAAGCTGGAAGTCAATAAAAGAAAACAGCTTTGTCGCTCAATATCATCATACGGGGAAAGACATTTGAAGAACTAAGGTACTCCTCTCAAAACAAGGAAAAGGCAGATGAACACATCTCTTCCCTGTCAGCTTTTTAGAAGAATCAAATATGAAGTGTGGGAAAGCTTGAGGAATAAGAGGCAAGGCTGAGAAGACACTACTTGTGAATTAAATGGGAAGGACGAGGGACTGGAGAAGTTGAATACACACAATTCAAGATGGAACAAGAAAGCTATCCCAATACAAAAACGTGACACAAAGTGAACAAAAAGTTGCCACAGGAGTTTCCTTTAATTTGATATTCTAAGCCTAACATCCAAACATTCACTGTTTCCATAAACTGCTTCACAGCAACATTTCTGTTACATATTACTCACTTCAGAAGATATGGAGTCTACCCAGATCTGTGCCAGGGCTGAAAGTCAAAAAAGTTTGGAGATTAAATAATATTGAAGGCAAACAGCAAAGAACAGTCACCACAGATTAATAAAACAGCGTGATAATTAGAACACAGAACTTCCACAACATAATTTTAGGCAACCCTAAAACGTGTTAAGAGGAACAATTAACTAAAACATGTGTTATCTTGGATACAAGCAGCCTGCCTTCTGAAGTGCTATAAGGAATAAGAGGGCGAGTCTTACTACCCCTGTTCTAACTACCTAAAAGTACGTAGAAACCTCACTCCAGTTGCAGAAAAAGAATAAGACAAATTAGCTTTATCAAAATTCAAACCATATTTAGCATCTCAAGCCATAACCTACCATATTCAATTTGACAGAACATGCTTCATATTACAATTCTAAGAAACGAACACAAATCCTCTATTACATCAAGACACACACCAAATGTGTATTTCTCCACTATGCACACATTGTGTAGGGATGATACTGTGGATTTTGCTCAGATATCAAAAAAGGCTTTATCTTTTCTACAGAAGATGTCGCATTTTGATAAATATTATCTTCCAGGATAAACTTTGAAATATTCTCCATAGGCCTGCTACAAAAAAAAAAAAAATGTAATGCAGAGAAAAAATTTCCAATCAGAATTTTTTAGTCTAAATCAAGTCCTGAATATGGATCTCCTTACAGAGAAACCCCAGTAATTCTGAGGATAGATAACATTTCAGGAAAAAATGAGATGGAATGAAGAAAAAAAAGGAGTTTCTTGATAAGATTTGAAGCTTCAAAAACCTACTTAGAAAAGGATTATAAAGCATGTAAAAGCTATCCTCATATCACTAAACACAAGTTAGGATAATACTCTTCAAGATTGGGAGGTAGTTACTACAATAAACATATTTATAAAAACACAGGATTAGTAAATTCAGAAAGATCAAATTTTTAACAGCCTTAAACATCAACATAGTATCCCTGAAGTAACATGTTGCCTCAAGAGGGAGGGATTGTTTAGAGGAAAATGAGCAGAAGTGATTATGTAGACAAAAACATGCAGGAGAAGGGTGGAAATGCAATCAAACTAAGAAACAAGTGACCCATCCTAATTATCTCTGATAGCAGATGCTGCTAACAGCTGCTCACACATTATGCTCCAAGTACAGCTGTGAGAACCAGAAATAGATACCAAAGATGCTCAACTCTGAAAGATGCACGCCTTGCACCTCAGAGATACTTGAGATATTATTCTAAGCTAACAAAGTGCATTTCCTCCAATCACATCTGCATTGTTAACCAATCCAAATGTACACTAAGCCCTTTTGCTTAAGCTGTTAACTTTAAAGCTTCACAAGTGTTTGCAGAAAAAAAGATACCAAGGATTATTAACAGAGGCACTAACCCTAAGAAACCTTTTATTCAAGTCATAGTTGTACTGTGATGACACTTACACTGTCTTATCTACCTTAGCTAGTGTCTAGTCAACAGAATTGTACAGAAGACAGTAAAAGCTACTTGGGAAAAGAAAAAATCGGGGAAATAAAAGCATTTTGAACTGCTCAAGAAGTTTTACATAACAATAAAAGAATTCTAATTTACTTAAGTATATCAGTGGCTATTGCTTCTGGATTTTTTTTCCTGGTGTAGGTTCAGCTTTTCAGTGTCACAAATCATGAAAGTTTGAATAAAAAACAGCTTTAAGATATCTGCATCTGTTCAGAAGTGTACCTAGTACCTAGAAAAAGATAAAAGAGATCAGAAGATCTGCACACCAACAAGCTTACAGAAGTATATATAGTCCAAGGCAAATTACAACTTTCTGATACTTTCAGGATGCTAGAAGTCTCCCTGGTCTATGCACATTTTTCAAGGCAGCCTCTAACTTCATGGTGTCTGATTAATATAAGGTTCTACGAACTGCAAGAGTACAGCTGTAGTAAAAAAGAATACAAGAGTAATAGTATAAAAGAATACAAGAATAATAGTATAAAAGAATAAAAGATCCAAGTCTTCTGATTCTGTGAAATATTCTAGTACTAATATCTGCTATAGTCTTTACCAACAGCCAGAAATAACACCTCCGAGGTGCTCAGCCTTTCCATGTGGCTAATTGAATTCCAACCACCACCAGTGGGAGTCTTTCTGTTGATTTTCACACAGCTAAAGTTAGCTTAAACTAGTTAGGCAAAACTATAGTAAGCTCAACTCATAAATACTCTGGAGAAAATATTATGCCACCATCTACATTCAGTGAGTCATCACCAAAGCAACTGTAACTTAAAACTTAAGCACATTTTTTTGTAATTTCACTTAAAAGCAATGAAAGCAAAACGACTACAAATCATGTTTTCACAACCTTCCAAATTCCCTTTAAGAAAGTCTTTGTACACAGGTAATGCCCAGCCCACGCTCCACGAGAGAGAGAAACGATACCACATCCCACTCGCGAGAACACTCAGTTCTCAGTAACTGCTCTCCGAGCACAGCAACACGAAACTCTTACTGGACCACAAACTACCAAGCCAGCCTCCAACATCGGTTAGCTGAAAACAGATGGCAGCGCAAAGTCTTGGTCCCTGGAGAGCTCACTAGTCAAGTTACTCAGTAACTTGGGAAGCTTTCGTTTCAGAAAAATAACAGTTTGGTTACCTCTGCATCCTAACGGGACAGCAGCAAGGGCCACGGCATCACGATGTCTGATATCTGTACACCTAATGGGCCGATTACAATCTATAAAAACCGCCAGCCATTAAGCACTGTTTTTAGACACCATTTCGGATGTCACCACCCCCGAAACACAGCCGGGACGAGCAGGACCCGCTGGGGCAGCGCAGCCCCCGCCTCCCCCGCCCGGTGTCACACCGCTCCCCGCCCAGCCGGGACCCGCTGCCGCCTCAGAGAAACCTGCTCCTAAATAAAGCTGGAAGGGGACGAGGCACGGAGGCACCTCACACCCCTTCTCCCGCCAGAGGCAGCGGCCCCACACTCGGGGCAAACCACCTCGGGCAGGGCCAAGCGCTCCTAGGCTTTACGCCCCAAGGAGGGCCGGGACTCCGCAAAAAAAACCCCAAAGCGTCCTCACGGGCGGCCATCCCACGGGCAGGCCCCCCCACCGCTCCCTGCCACCACCGCCGCCCTCAAATGTCCCGAGCCACGCCCCCTCCCTCTCCATGCCCAATGCGAGCCGCGCTTGCTGAGGGAGGCGTGGCGAGCGGGCGGCTAGCCAGTCGGGCGCGGCGTTGTTGCGGGGGTGGGGCTGGCTGGTTGGCTGGTGGTGAGGGGCACGGCTGGCGCCCTGCGCCCGCCTGCCCGTCAGTCATGAACTCCCTGGACCAGGCTGAGGGTGAGTGCGCCGGCCGGCCGCCAGCCCCGAGCTGCCTGTTCGGCGCGCAGGGAACCTCCGGCTCCGCGCCCGGGCTGCCCCAGCGCGCTGCCTCGTCCCTCCGGAGCGGGCCCCGGCCGCGGCGCCGCCGTCAGGGCGGCCCCGGCGCCCTCTCCGCCCCGCTCCTCCTCGGCCCACGGGCGAGCTGCGGCGGCGTGTCCCGGGCCGCCTCCGCTTCCCGGGGCTTGCGGGTGGGCCGCTCTTGCTCTGCGGCCGCCCTGCCGTAGGGAAGGCCCGTGCTGAGGGGCTCGGTGTGTTGGGTGCGCCAGCCGCCTTCCTCCCCTGGGGTGGGGAGAGCTGCCCGGGGGACTTTCCCTTTCGGTGCTCTTTCTCGACAGGGCTCCTTGGTTTTTAACTTCTTAAAATCCACATATGCTGCGGTACCTACTTCTCCCCTCACGGGTTTTTACGTGAAACGCATTTCTTAGAGCTTTGGGGCCCATCTAGCACACTGGGCGTTACGCTGTGCCAGGGCTCCTCTTCCACTTGAAGAACGTGACCTCAAATAGAGAGGTCTATTTATAATAGACCTTGTCTGAAAACATTAATTGCTGAGCTTGCATGTTCTTTGAAGTTATGGTTTACAGGATGTCAAATCCCTGAAAGGAGTTTTTAGTGACCAAAAATATGACTGGTAGAGATTTTTGAAATGCATCAGTGTCTCAGATTTAGCAGGTGTTTTGTAGTAGCTACTAGAGGTAGACATGTTAACAAAAAATGATAGTCCAGCATTGTCACGGCTTTGTTACTATGTCTGTACAAGCTGTAGGGATCTAAGAACTGTGCCTTGCTAGTTACAGCTGCCAGGTGCCAAAGTGATACTCAGGGTTCTTAGAACATGGATATTCAAAACCAAGTTAAAATTTAAAGTTCCTATTTTCTAAGATGTTTTTTCACTGTTTTAATTTTAATGCCATCTACATTATATGAGTGTTCTCTCAAGAATTTTGTTATCAATAGCTTGATTTTATGTCCACAGGGTGCTACTTCTCAAATAGCAGGTTTTCATGTGATGCCTCATATTACCCCCTTACTTCAGTGACTAGTTGTAGGGGTTTGTGTTAGTCTGGGAGCAGTTAATTAGCTTTAATGGCTGTCAGTGGCTTAGCTTCCCCTCATAACTACTGGTCTGTTGGCAGTAATTAAGACTAGTTAGCAGTTCTGTGGCCGAAGTCAAGATGCTATAATCTTTTCTTCCGTCAATTCACCTGCAAATCACTTAAGAGTAAATTTACAGTTTGAAAAACTGCATTAGTAATGATCGTAATAAGTATATTTATTCTCATTTTGCTAACTGCTTTATTATGGTAAATAATTTAGCCATAGTTGCAAGCTGAAGGAAAAAAATTCCAGAGTGATGCTAACTGAAACACTTCACCTGAAAGTTAAGTTTATGCTCATAAAAACTTGACTCCAGGTAGAATTCTGGCTTTGACTGGAATGTTGTCAAATACTGACCTTGTTGAACAGAAGCTTAAATCTAACATGACTTCAGGTGAAACAGCTGCCTGTAGACAAGCATTAGGTTGTTGGCTAAGATATATATTTTTTTAAAAAAACAAATTAGGACTATGAACTTGAAATGCTGTATGGCATTTAACAGTGGGAAAAAAACATGGGAGAATGATGGCAATAAGAATAAAGATCTATTTAAAGAAAAATAATTAAAATGAGATCGTTGGGCTAGTGTTTGTTGTGGGATTTTATGTGTATGTGTGTGTGTACGTATGTCACTAGAAGTTTGTACAAAAAGTCATCAAAGCCATGCTGCTACAAATAATCCCTTGAACAGCTGGCAGATGGCAAACTTTTTTTAATTACCATTATATAGATAAAAGAACTTAAATGTTTTCCTCATGTGATTAATACTCCAAAATGTGATATTTTTCTTCTGTGTGGAGGGGTTATTTAAGCTATACTAAATCTAACTCTCAGTATTTTGAAAGATGTCTAAAATACTCTGGTTTCTTAACTATATCAATTTTATTTTCCATAAGTGGGAGTGTTTCTTGCATTTAGTATGACTCCATCATTGTACTTTTTAGCTAAAGTTGCCTGAAGCTACTTCGACTGTTCTTTTATTACGTCTAAATGATCATTGCATTGGTTTCATCTGCCTGTTTAAGAAATGGGTGTGTACAGAGGAAAAGAGAATTCCTTTTATCTTTTGTACTAAAATTTGACTAAATAGATGAAGATCTAATTATGCTTGATATACATCCTCCCCAGATCTCAAAGCTTTTGAAAGAAGACTTACTGAATATATTGCATGTTTGCAACCAGCTACAGGACGTTGGAGAAGTAAGTTTGATGTTCCAAGGGATAAATGGGATTCTTTCAAACTTTTTAGATTTACTAGTGTGTATCTTTGATTTATGTTTGCGCAAACAAAAATCTGTGCTCTAAACTCTCTTTACAATTTCCATGGTATACGTTCAAACACTCTTCAACAAGATAATACAAGATCCCAAACTAACACTTTAACCAGAGTTAAAAAAATGAGGTCAAGATTGAATTGGCTCAAGGCTGAATTATTCTGGAAGTAGTTGGGACAGTAAGTTGTTTTATTTGTTTCTGTTTTGGTTTGGATTTTTGTGGTTTGTTTTGTTTTGAAGGCTCAGACTTCCCAGACAGTCACCATAGTTACTTGAACTAAACACGATTGGGTGAGCTAGTCCTTACAAAATTGAAGGTGAAAAAGTTACAGCAGTATGCCTTAGCAGCAGAACATGTCCTTGTCTCTGTTATAACGGGACAGTTTGAAGGAGGGAGAAGTCAAAAAATACCCCAGATATGCTGCCAACTTTGGGATCAGTAGTCCATGGTGGAAATGGACTGCTCTTTTGTTCTAAGATTCTGCCGAGTTTCTGTACTCAAAGAATACAGATGTTTTTTAGAACATATAAAATACCGTCTTTTGTCCGAAGAGGCCAAGAGGCTAATTTCAAATGAAGAAATGGGAGGAATGACTACTTAAAAAACAAAAACAACAAAAAACCCACCCCACCTCAAAACACAACCAACCCCAAAGCAACTACTACCCCAAACCTCCTTGTTTCAGAGCAATTGGGTAGCTAGCAGATATGTGTAAGTATATCTGTATACCTTGTATGCACCTGCTGTAGTACATTTAACTTCCAGAATTGCTCTTTACTGTCAGATACAATTAACAAAAAAAAAAAGTACTGGAGACTTCTAAGCATATTTAAATGAGGTTTGCATAACTAATGTTGTGTTCACTAGCAAACTTTTTTCCTAACTGCTTGTTTGGCCCGTTTTGTAATCTATGTAAAATAGGGAGTTTTTACTTTAATTATAATGGGGTATTTAACCCAATGTTAACTTTTCCTCCTCTTATCCTAGGAAAAAAAGTATTTCTATGGAGAAGAAGCTCTAAGCTTTTGATAGATTCCCTTTTTCCAACTTTGTTTTGAAAATGTAACTTGTTAGGGTTACTTTTTAATTTTCTTTATAATTTTGTAATGTCAGTAAGTCAAAGTGGCCTTACAGAGCTGAAAGTAGTATTTCATGAATACCTGGGGTTTGTTTTCAGGTTCTGTCCTATGGTCCTAAAGGCTGGTAACTCTGGGTGTTCTTTTGTGTTGTTTTTTGTTGTCTTTTCCCTCGCCAGTAAAAGACTATTTGCATCCAGAACTTCAGGCTCCACGGAAAACACTCAGAACTGCCAAATGTCCAGAGAAAGTTGCAAGGCTTTATGAGTGTGCAATAGAATATGAGCTTTCTCTACCCTTGTGTTTGTTGTTTTCTTTTTCCATCAACCCCTGTTACCCAACCTTTCATAGTCTCTTCTCTTAAAATCAGTCTGGTATCTTGTGTTACTCTAATATGTATCTAGCATTATCCATTTGCAGTTAACTGATTATTCTTTCTAAACCATTCTGGAGGTTTTTGTTAATCATCATGTGCTAAAGCTAACATGCCTTCTGCCTCCTGTTTAAATTTTGTGTTTTTTTTTCTCAATGTCAGCTTTGCTTGCTTGTAATTGTGTTGATTGGGGTGGGAAGCATAACACAACTTAGATGTGCCAGGGAAACTGCTGGTGCTAATGCCTCAGGCTTTTCTTATGCAGAAGAGCTAGCAGGATAGAAGCTTTAGTTCTCTGCAATTTAATGGTGATGCATTTCTGTTGCCTAGACTGCGTAAGCTTAAATAGCATAATGAACATTTGGTACAACTTTTACTCCAGTCTTTCAACTCATATTTGTGCTAGATGTGTTATTTTAGAATCTTTAATTTCTTCAAAGTGTCAGGATGTTTTTATTTGACAGAATTTAGATTTTGGTGCCTACTTATCCTGTCTAGAAAACTTGTACAGAATCTTTACAGCTTCACACAATAGAGGTTTCTTTGCCTATTTTCATGTCTGCCTTCCAAGTAGAAGCTCTTCTTTCCTCAGAAGTGGAAGAAGAAATAAATGCTTAAGAGCTGCTGCTGCAAAATAAATGCTTTTTAATATGAGTGAGGTATACTGTTAATGACTCTTGTTCTTTCCTTTATCAGTGATTCTGATAGTGGTATCAGTCTGCACAGCAACTGGTGCTTGGAACTGGTTAATAGACCCAGAGACACAAAAGGTAAAGATCATACTAATCAGAGTGTAGTCTGTTTCATAGCTTGGTGTTGCAGTCAAGTGGTATAATATCTTGAAAACTGAAAGGCTAAAGGTGCTTCTCCCATTAAACTGGGAGATAATTTTTAGTTAAGATCTCAAGCTGTCTGGAATTGTTGTGGAATATGTCCTGGGACAGTGCCTAACAAAGCAGTACACCTTGAATGCTTATCTAAAGAATTGTTCACAAGTAATTAGAAATGTCTAGGAGCAGTATTTCTTTTTAAATTAAGTGAACTAGGCAGCAACTTTATATATGCTTTATAAAGTACATCGTGGGACGAAACTGATTTCTTTTGTAGGTGTCATTTTTCACATCACTTTGGAATCACCCATTTTTCACAATCAGCTGTATTACCCTAATAGGCTTGTTCTTTGCTGGAATACATAAAAGAGTGGTCGCACCATCAATGTATCCTTTGACCATGTTTTTCAAGTTAAAAGTGTTGTGGTTACTGCTGTTATTGAAGCCTATGCTAATACTGCTTTCTCAGTTTTTACTTACTCCATGTGCAAGTGTTAGCTGTGTTCCTTGACACAATCCACACAGTATAGCAGCTCGATGTCGGACTGTTTTGGCAGAATATAATATGTCCTGTGATGATGTAAGTGTTAGTGGTTCATTGCCTAAGCCTTGTTTTTCAAAAAACGTGAATAATTTGAAAAGTCACACAGATTTTTTTCTGAACAGCACTTTTACACACATTAACAAATCCTGTGTGTCTGTAAAACTGGAATGTAGAATACTTTAGTATTGTTCTGTGGGTCATTTTAAACTTAGCTTCTAAAATTGAACTTGAAGGGTGATTGTTGGACTCAACTTCAAAGGTCTAAACTTTTTTTTCTGTTTTGCAGACTGGAAAACTCATTTTGAAACCTAGGCCTCATGTTCAATAAGGGCTGTCTTCAGTTTTTTTCCACTGCCATGGAAACCAAAAATGACCCTTTTTTAAGGTAGTATGACAGCAAAAAGACAAATAGGACTGGTTGTCACTGCCTGGGAGTGAAAGTCTTACACAGTTGACAGTGAAAGTGTGCAATATTACTTTCTTGACTATTTATCCAAATTCTTTGTTATCATATTATCAGTGCTTTTGCTACTTCTGATTACCTCTTTTTCAGTATTAGTGTCACTTTTTTACTTCAGCTAGAACAGAACATACAGATGAAGTATGTTAATCTGCTAAGAAGTTGAACTTGAAAATCAAACCTCATTTGTGTTATGTGTCTTTGAAGCTATTGTAAATAGCAGATCGATGCCAATGTTCAGGAAAAGAAGTAATATTTGCTGTATGGATTTTTTTTTTTTTTTTTTTTTTGTTCTCATGAACAGTATTGAAAGGAACACTTAGCATTCCCATGATGTTTTATTAGCACACTTACTCATTACAGCTGTCCTTGTCCCTTGGTCACTCTTTTTGGAACTGGTCAAAAGGCTTGCAGAAAGACTGTCTGTCTGTGCTGCAGAAAACTGGTCTTACTGTTTCAGAGCTTCGCAAATATATCAAGGATCATATTTGTCAAATTGTATATACGGTGCACCAGCCACTTTCATTGTGGTCACACATAGCTCCTTGTTTGACCTGGCTCACACCACTGTTATTTTAAGATTTTAATATTTTAAAAATTGTCTTAAATATGCCTGTATCTTCCCAGTTGTAAGGTGGTACTGTATCTTAAGTCCACATGCCCCTTCTGAATGGATTTTTATGCTGCGATAATCTGAATATGAAACTAGTATGGCAAATGTTTAACTTCAGGTTTGGTGAAGCAAATATAAAGAGTGCCACAATAAAATAACAAAAGTTATTATTCAGAGTGTTAAAAACAAGGTGTGGATGTTATGTGCATGAAGTGTAACTGCTGAATAACTAAAATTGTAAAGAGTTTTAAGAGTTGTTCAAGGTGCCTTTTTAATTGTTTCAAACTCTTCTAATTGACTAAACTGCAAAGCTGTTGCAACTTCAGTAACTCCTACTACAAGGTAGACTGGCTTTTAAAGGCAGTTTATGGATGTAACTTTGTCAGTGGAGACATTAAGAATTGTCTCCTGTGATTTTTCCAGTAAGTCTTCTGCCCATCCATTATTTTTAACTGCTATGTATTTTGTAGGTAAACGTGTATATAATAAATTCTTTGTATAAACAGCTGTTATCTTCTTTTGTACTGTGCAAATACAGATCTCAGATGGACACAGAAGAGCTTCACAAGTTTTTAGCTGAAGTCTGTAACTTTCATACTGGACCAACATTTCCTGTATTTGAGGTGGTTCTTGCGCTCTAAGATACTGACACTGGAGGGAAAGTCCGTCCGGGTTTGCATCCTACAGGTCAATCCTACCTTGCTGGGAGAGGAAATTGCTTCATTCAGCATTTACCTCCTTTGAGTTTTAGACGTGGGGAAACACCCAGAGTAGGTGCCGTGTCCTCGAACGCGTGCGAGGACGCTTGATGGGTGGGTGCCAGGGCCGCCGGGGTAAGTTTCACGCGTGTCGCAGAGCCCAGGTGCCGTTTCGGTGCCCGTACTGGCGGTGCTGCCCCGGTCGGTGACCGGGCTGCGCCTGTGCCGCGGGGTCGCTCTGTCTGTACGGAGGAGTCACCCCCCCCGGCAGCGAACAGGCCTCGGCCGGGGCGGGGGCGGGGGCGGGGCCGGGGCCGCGCCTGCGTGGGGGCGCCCACGTGCGTGCGCCGGCGCCGAGCGGCGCGGCGGGCGCGGAGCCATGGGGAAGAGCCGAGCGCGGCGGTTCCGCAGGGCTCCCTTCGCCCCCGCCGGCCCCGAGCAGCGCCACGACGGGGAGGGCGGCCCCGAGGAGGAGCCGGCCGCGGAGCTGCTGGAGAAGGTGCGGGCGGGAAGTGGGGGCGCCCGCCGGCGGGGCGAGGGGGAAGGGGAGCGCGGGCTCGGGGCGGCCCCCCGCTCGGGAGAGGGGCGAGGGAGGCTCTGCCCGCCGCCGCAGGGGGGTCGGGGCGAGGTCTCGGCCCGCCCCGGCGGTGTCGGGCGAGGGGCCGGGTGCTGAGCCGCCCGCGGGCGCGGGCAGGAGCCGTGCGGGGCATCCCCCGCCGCCCGGCCCTCCTCTCGCCGCCGCGTCGCTCCTCCGGCGTCACGGCCGCGCCCGCGGGTGGCTCGGCAGGCCGGGCAGGCGGAGGCCCTGCCCCGGGCGGCCCCGCCGCTCGCCGCCGGGCTCTCGTTCTTGCCTCCTGGCCGGCCCCGAGGGGCTGGGGCAGTGCGGGACGCTGCCCTGTGCCCCTCGTCCCTGGAGAGGCTTTGCAGGCGTTCTTGCGGTCCTGTGCTCGGGTTCGGCCTAGCCAGCTGGGCAGTTTTCTTACAGGTGGCCGGAGGGGTGAGTCAAAGATGCAAACGTAAGAAAGAACTGATAGAAAGTGCTGAAAAAGGCTGGGCTTGGCCTATAGTTGGCCACGTTCTTGGGTTTGGTTTAAGTATTACAGATGAAAACTAGTTTAAACCTCCTGAACGTGTGACTTTAGAACCAGAAGTAAAAACCTGTTTTCTTTTAAGTAAATAAATCCCCTCTGTTCACTTCACCTAACTGAACTCATTAAACAAATCACTGCTTGACTATTCTGGACTAAACTATTCACTCTTAAAAAAAAAAAGTTACATACAGAAATGCCTAGGTAAGGATGAACTGAGAGATCTCTATCCGTTTCAGTGAGTATCTGATGTGCCACTCTTTTCCACTCTGCTCTTCAGCAGATGTTTATCTTTTCTGTTAGGTTTTCAGCGAACTCCATGACTTTCTAGGATAGGCACTTCTCCTGTTTTGGAGCTTCTCCTTTTTTGGCATTTCTCCTTTTATGATTTGCAATTCTTACATCTCACCTAAACCTTTGTCACAGCACAAGTCAGTATTGTCTTGGGGATGTAGAGAACACTTGTTCCTTGTCTTTAAGCAACACTTGACCTTGTCTAAAGGCTATCATGTTTTTTCATATTTTTTGAGTTTTCAGGGTTTTTTTATGGTGGCATATGTTATGTCGGCTATACCTCCTTGACGATACTTTTCCCCCACTTCTGTCTGTTTTTTAAAAATGTGGTAATTGAAAGTAGATATGAGGTCTCACCAGTGCCAGCTAGTGTCAAATCTGTGTCTGAACTGCGGCTTTCTTGTTAATCACCCAGAGTATTGTTTATCTAGTCATACAGTTAACACACATAACCCAGGCAAAGACTGGTAAACTTCCATGGAAGTTAAAAGCTCTTGATTCATTCAGGAGCAGTAAATCGGGAGCTGCAGTGCTAGGCCTGCAGATCAAAAGGCAGATCAGTCTTTTCACTCAATAAAAACTTGCAACTACTTTTTCCCTAGCTCCTCCTAATCTGTCCTGTTTGTGTCTCCCCAGCTGCAGCATCCAAGTGCTGAGGTAAGAGAGTATGCCTGTGCCAGTATTTCCAAGCTGCTGCAGCAGAAGCATGTCATTCCAGCCTTTCTGCAGAGAGACGTTGTCCGGTGTTTAGGACCGCTGTTGATGGATCACAGTTTAGCTGTTCGCGAGACAGCTGCAGGTGCTCTCCGGTAAGCCATTGCCAGTATTGTTAGAATGAGGTGCTCCTGGCATGCTCATGTGTGGGGTTTTGCTGTTAAATGCTGCGAACCTGAATGCCTGCCTCTCTTGCTTTAACTCTGTTTTGAGTAAGTATGCCTATGTCAGTCGAAGTCCCCAAGAGAGGGCCTTTCCTTTTACTCCAATAGGCTGCCATGAGACTTTAAAGTCAGGAGTAGGGTTTAAGTTACTTACTACCATTTTATGTACTGCCATTGGAATGTGCTGCTTTCCATCTTTATGCTAAAAAAAAAAAAAATCAACAGTAGTATGAAGAAATACAGAGAATTTGAATGCTGTTAGTATGGCATTTTGTGTCTCGATAACACTGTAGTGGGTTAGAGTGTGCACATAGCTGGCTTTGAGAAACTTGTAAATATTGAAATGTTGATATTCAGCAGTCAGACCTACAGTTTACTGCTAATACTTGTTAACATTGATGTTGTATCTTACACTGAGTAATACCTGACAGAAGTCAGGTTTTCATACAGATAAGCTTTCTAGTTATGATAGACAAGTAAGTGAAAATAATTAATTTTTTTTTTTTTCCTAATACCAAAGTTACTCTTTCATGTTAGGAAGGTAGAAGACTAAATTTACTGATTAAGTAGATTGATTTTAAAACAAAAAGTACCATAACCTTTAGAGAAGAATACTGAATGCATGTTTGTTTTTTTTTGTTTTTTTTTGTTTTTTTTTAAACATTCCTGGAAATGATTGTATCTGATCCAAAGCTTTTTTCTTTCTTCCCACCCACAACCTACCCCCCTCCCCCCCCAAGAAATCTAAGTGCTTGTGGAGGATTTGAAGTCTGTGATGACATGGTGACAAAAGACATCATGACACCCCTTGTCGCACTTCTGAAAGAGGTGTGTTTATTTTTATTCTGATTTTAAAACTGATCTAGCCATTGAATTATCCCATTTTCAAAAATAGTTCGATCTTTGTATGAAGATATTTGAAAGATATTTTAAAATAATGTTTCAGTAGGTTTAATAGTACAAAAAATACTCAGGAGATTTCAAACTACTTGCTTTTGCCTCCTGACCTGCTAATTCGGGTCTGTGGTAGTGAGATTTGCTGCCTAGGATGATTTTTGCATAAACAGTCTCAAGAACAGACATCTGGAACATCAGTCAGGACAAGTCTATTCCATTAGTCAAGGTTCGGATCCAACGTTTATGTTGCAACATTATTCTAGTGAGTTATTTTGGTAAACAATTTTGTCTAAATGAAAGGTTAGATTTAAAATTGTACTTACTGCTATCGTAGAATGATCTGTACTGAATACCTATTCTTTGTTTGGTCCAGGTGTTGCAGTGCAGTTTGGAAATTGCATTGAATTCTGTCACCTGCTGTCTTTGTATGAACAGCCTTGAGCAATTCCATCATTTTCTGTATGTTTCTTCCCCATTTTAAAATATGGGTAATAGCGTTATTGTAAATCACAGCAAGATATTAGCTGAATTAATCTTTGTGATTAGAAAAAACTGTTGAAAATTGCATACAGACTGTATTAGCAAGAAACAGCATTTTAGGTTCTAAAATTGCTAGGTGTTTATAAAGAAAAAAAATGCTTCTAAACACTATTGAATGCAAAACAAGTACTGTAAGAGTCTTTCTACAAGAGAAGAAGATTCGCAATTATTCAATTCCATTGTGGTCCAGTTTTCATAGAGAATAAGGAAGTAGTCAGGTGTTCTGGTAATAAACACTTCATGAGAGATCTCTCTGTTCACTCTGCTGTCAATTTTTTAAGTTTTGCTTTTTTTCTTGGCTTGTTTGTTTCCAAACTCTGATTCTCTTGTTTGGTTGTAGTGTAGCACTGGACTAGATGCTAACCAGCTCTCTCCAAAGAAATGTAGAGAGGTGAACAAAAATTATATCGAAGACATAGCCAATGAGGCTATTAATTTGCTGTGGAATGTATGGTAAGTGCTGTGTAAACACTGGCCTTTTAGAAGAGCTAAATTAAATTGTTCCTGAAAAAGAGCATGGTAATTGAGGCAGAAAAGAAATGACTTGGCCTTGCATGGGAAGATATACTCAGTTGCTGATGCTGATTTCTGATTGTGTTGCTCTTATGTGTGCCTTGCTTAATAAATGGCTAGCCCTCATCTGATCTGAAATACAAGTTTATCTTCTACTGTGAGTTACTTTTGTAAGTGAAGGGTTTTAAAAGTGCACGAAGTTGGTCATTAGTTTTAGGAGAGTGACATCTGTTTTCTATTGATTGTTCGTCCTAGGTTATGATACTGTTTTCTGAAGTTGTCCTGTCACTCTCCTGTACAGTTTGGGTTGTGAGGTCTTGTGTACGGTTCCTATAGATGCTTGTCATGATATGGGAGATGGAGAAAATTAAATTCTGATCAGTGATCTGAAAATATGAGTAGTTTATGTACTACTTCCTACCTCTGCAGGCCTCCACAAAAGTTAATATTAAATGTTTGGACAAACTATCCCTCAGTGACTGAGGCACTGATGCAAATCTATTTAAATATGTGAGAATGTGAATTGTTCAATTAGTAGCCTACATTGGAAACAGCAGGTGAATGAAGAGAAATGGCAACACTTACTATAGAAAAGGCTATAAACATCAAAGTGATACAAAACCTGTTCTGAAAGCTCTCCTTGAATTTTGTGTCATGTCACTTCATTTTGTAACAGCTCCATGTCATTGTACACTTTGGTCCATACAGAATTTTGTTTTGTACTGTATAGTATTTCAGTGGAGCTGCCTCTATGTCTGTCTGGTATGGTTGCTGGCATGAGGCCTTATTTGTAAATTTTTTTTTTTTTAGGGATTGGAATCTAGAACAGTGCAGAAACTGCTTGTTCAGCACCTTACACAGAATACATGACCCTTTGTAACTGACTGAACAATGTTTTGTGTTCATTTTTTAAATTACTTTTGTAGACAGAAGTTCTCTGGAGCACGAACTATAATCATTAAGTGTGCTATAAATCACTTCTGTATTTGGAACTTTGTGGCAATGATTGTGAACTGCTGACTTCATTGCTAAGTTTGGTACTGATAAAAGTGGGGCTGGCATTGATGCTGAGACATTACATTTTCAAAAGTAAATTTTTGAAGACCCTCATAGCTAGTTAAGTCCCATGCTTTTTTAGTTGGAATTTGTCTTGTATCAATATATTAGTTTAAAAATGGGAATAGCTGTGAAAACTTGAAGAAACACAAGAGAATAGATGATTAAAGTGTATGTCGCATTTAGCACTGATTTAGCATGTATTTCTGAATGCATGTCACTTTCTGGAGTAAATGAATGTTGATGTGATAGACAGCAGCCTGTTCTGTTGTCAGTGGGTTTATGGATGAAGACTTCCATGGCTGCAGAAAGCGCTGGGCTGGCTTGTAGCCTGCAGCTGTGAGCTGCCTCTCACGCTCTGGCTGGCTCTGTCCGCATGACACTGTACTTGGGCTCCCAAGTAAACTCCCGAATACTGTGTGTGAGGAGGCAGCTGGCAGAAGCCACCTTTCCTCAAATGTGTCCGGGGTATTGCAGCTTCTCTTTCTTCATTTTATATAGAATTGATCATAACCTCGATAACGAAGGATAGCTCTTTGACTAATATGTAGTTCTTAAGTAGGTTTTTAAAATGTGAATAATAGCGAGTACATGTTCCTTAAAATGTTACAGTAATTTTTTCCTGGGGAAAAGTGTTTTATTAATCTTTTCTATGCATTAGTGAATGCAACAATACTGCAGTATACATATTCAATAAAGAAGGATGTCTGGAGGCTGTGTTACATTACATGAAGAAATTTTCTACCAATGTGGACCTGGCTATTTCAGTAGGTAAGTGGTAAAAAGAGAAGGTAAGGATTTAAATAGACTTTTTTTTCTTTACTATATGAATGTAACATTGATGTCCCACCCATTGCATAGTGCATCTGCCTCAGCATTACTTACACTTTACACTGAATATAAGACTTTGATTCCTTTCTGAACAGCATGTTATTCAGAAGTTGACATCTGTTGTGCTTGTTTTCAGTCCAAAGGGGAATGGCTTATTGGTGGTGACATGGGAGGGGAAAGATTTTGTGGAAAGAAAGCTCTAGACGGAGGCTGTGTTTTTGTTTTACGGTTTTGGTAATGAAGGGTTTAATTTGTAGTCCAAAGGACATAGTCCATTTAAAAAAACCCCAAACAACTCCTATCACTTTCAGCGAGGTTTTACTAGTAGTATTGTTATTATTACAGTCTTACAATGGTCTTACAATTGTATGTGCTTGCAGTGTTATTTGGTGTCCCTAGTCAGTATACAAGAAATTGGATTTTGAGTAGCTAAAATTAATACAGCTAGTTCCCTGTCTGACGTGGTACTGTCCTTACCTGTTTTATGTATAGGTTTGCCACAGAAAGTCTTTAAATCTAAAACACAGCTTGTGAAGGACAGTGTCATACCATTGCAACGTGATGCTGCATTACATGTTTTTTCTTGTGTCTGTGTTTCATTACTCCAGGAAGATAATGCTTTCTCATTAGGAGAGTGAAAGCTACTATTGGGCGTGTTAATTATCTTTGTTGTTTGCTGCAGCAAACTGCTTGCAGGCAGTGACAGAAGATAATCCAGATCTTCTTTCTTCATTTAATGCTTCTGCACAACAAGTATTGGAAACCGTGATGTTGTGTCCAGAGAGCACAATGAAGCATATCCTCCTGAGGACCCTGATAGCAGGTACAATGCTCATGGGTGTTCACTGCTTTGTGATGGAGAGCATGGCAGGCAAAGGGGAGTGGGAAGGACAGAAGGCTTAGTCTTCTCTGCTATAGTCTGGACATCTGGTTGTTAAAGCCTGTATAGATGGTTCATGAGGTTATTTCTGCCTTTTGGGATTGTGTTCTGGAGTGACCAGATATTTGCAACTAGTTTTAAAACTGTCTTAAATGCTTGATTCTGAATTCAGTACCTGCTCAGTGTGATAACGCATTTTAACTGGTCATTTGGTTTTCAACAGTGAAATGAGTCAATTATAAGTAGTACAGGAATCGTTTTGATCTTAACAGCTGTTGATTTTTACCTCAGATTCCCTATCTTGCGTTCTTCTTTCTATCTCAAATGCTCAACCATGGTGACTTTTGATACTGGAGTGTAATAAATGAATTTTGAGCATCCTTAGAAAATGGTTATCATTCCACACAAGTATTCTGTGTATACTTACATATTGAAATTTACTTGAGCTTAAGATGTGGGCATAACTTAGTTATTACAGATGAGTATATGAAATGCTAAACAGAAAAAAAATACAAGTCTGTAGAGAAAACACTTGAATATTCATACTGAAATAGAAGCATTGAGTATTTTAAGTAGTGGAGGCTTTGTCCTTACAAAATATATGGCTATTACAGAGCTGGGAATTGAGTGTTTTAATAACTTTGGTACTTCAACTACCTCTTGTTTAGGCACTATCTGGAATATCAAGGATACCATTCCACCACGCAGCCTGGGAAGCATGGTTAATGCAATCCTGAAGATTTTTTCAGAATCGTTAGCAATAGATGCTGGCGAAATGATTATTCGTATGAATGAAGCTGAAAAAAACAGGTTAAAACTTGCTGCAGAGGCAGAAACTGACGAAAACATGAGTGATATTACAGCTAGCAGTGTTTTGAGCGAAGATGATGACATGGAAGAAATACCAAAAGGAAAAGTCAGGAGAGAAAATGACATTTCAGATCTACTTCCAGTAAGTGTGGCTGGCTGGCTCTCGGACACCTTGGTGCATTTGGCTGAGCATCTCACTGGTCTTGACTCGGGATTAGCCAGAGTAAACTTCTTAGCAGTGTTACTAATCTTAACTCCCAAAGAGCTTGACTGTTTTAGCTAAAATGTGAAAGATGGGCACAGAGAATTTCAGCACCACTTGGTCCAGTGTGGCCAAGTGGCAGAGCACATCAGGAAAGCACATTTTTGTTTCTTATCTCTAGGGAAGGTGTAGGCTTATCTGACACTTCTGCCTGTAGCTACTGCAGAAAGTTTTGATTTCTGTGTAAGGTGAGTGAGATTTTTAATGGTAGTAACCAGTCAGTCATGAGTGGAGATGGCTGAGAGGTTGACAAATGCATTCAGTATTGCGTATGTGAAAAGAATAACAGGAATACATGTTTCTGTTAGGGCTTTATCTAACATTAGGTAATCTTTTCTGTTACAACTTTACTGCAGGTGGTGTTTCTTCAGTGTAAAGTTTGTTCAGAAACATACAACAGAAAGATGATAGATAATGCCTCTTGATCTTGTGTTTGTTTTGTTTGGGGTTTTTTTAAGTTTTGTTCCAGGATGAGAAGAGGAAATGGCTGTATTTTTAACTGACAGCTTGCTACTTTAAATTACACTGAAATGTTGTTTTACAAAATTAAGTTTGGTTCATGTTTTTATTTTTCAGTCTGATAAGTGGGAACTGAAAGAAGTGACAGCTTTACTGATGGCTCAGCAGACTGCTCTGGAAATCATTGTTAATATGTGCTGCAGTGAAGGTTTGTAGGAATTTCTTTCATTGCAAGTGTTGCGGTGCATTTTGCTTCTGGAACAGGTCATGTTTAGCTTGCTGCTTGGTGATCTTAGCTTTTAAGGGCAGATGCACAGAGACTTATTGTCCCTGATACCCTGATCTAGAGGGCAGATTGAATTGTAATTTCTATTACTAATTCAAGTGTGGGTTTTTCTCATTTAAGTAATTTTTGTTGGTTACATATTTTTTTGCATGATATTACCTGTGGTAACATTTAAGAACAAATAAAAAAGCACTTATGCCAAAGAGACATTTCCTAAAAGATATTACAGCAAAATCTTTGTTCAGTTAGAGCATCGTCCGAGTGTTCATCTGAATCTTATTGCAGGACAGGGTCATCATTTTTTTTTTAAGTAGATAAATCTTGTAGGTTTGATTTAGTTTTGATATACAGGTGTTGTAAAAGAAGGAGGAGAGACAGCTTTTGCATGCAACTCTGGAAGCAGTGCAGATTTGGGCTGTTCAGAGTCCTACCTTTATGAGCTTTTTTGGAGGAGAAAGAAAGTGTTATTCTGGGAGAGCAAGAAATAGATATTCTCTATCTTCTGTGAACTCTGATACTCAGTTTTGATAGCTCTTCTAATCTTCAGGAAAATAAATAAGCAATTCTGAATTTCTGTTTAAAAAAGCCACAAAGAACATCCAAACAAAACTAACCCCCCCCAAAAGCCTCCACAACATGAAAACTTTAATTGCTATTACAGATTGTAAACCTGATGCAAAAGTAATTGTGTAGGAGATTAACTTTCTGAGTAAATCTTCCAGGTTCTAATAAAATCCACAGTAATACCCACATATTCCCACTGGTGATTATTTTTTTCTCTTGCAGCGCAAGGAAATTCTGTACCTAGTATATGAAGCTCCTTTCATAACTGCATTTCTCATCTAATGAGCTGTAATTCATAAGCTCTCCCCTTTAATTGGAAACTCTCTTGTGGATAAGCTGCATATTCTGTCATTCAGTCAGTTTAATGTAAGGTTGATTGTGTTGTATTTCTCTACAGTACTTTACCCATTCATGGGCAGAGAGAAACATAGTCTGTAGAAATTAAGAGGAATCCAGAGGCAGCTGTTCATTTAATTTTCAAGTTATTTGAGGACTAAAATAGCTTTAGCCATTATGCTGAGTTCATATAAACACTCCACTTGCCACAGAACTGAGGGAAATAACCAGGCTGGCAAGAGACGTGTTTCACTGAATGTGGGCTGGCGTTTGGAAGAAGCAGAATGCTCTTCCCTTGACAGGGACACAGGAAGGAGGCCAGGAGGCTCCAGCATTGCTGTCCAGTCTGTAGTTCGTAGGTTACCAACACTAGTTAAGATGGGATTGCCATCGGAAATGCTTCTGTATTTCCAAGAACGTTACAAGAAACCTGATCTTAGTTACGAGATGCTGTTCTAGAGCTCGGCTCCTGCTCTGTCCTGGTCACTCACTGTGAACATACAATGACTGTTGGCTTTGTTGTTGCTGAATTGGATGGTCAGCTCATATAATTATAATTTCGTTTTCAAAGGAGATTTTTGCTTTGTTTCTTTTGTAAAGATGCAGATGGATTTTTTTTTTTTTTTTTTTTAGAAGAGTCGAGACTGACTGAAAGGGTGGTGTCTGCTTTGTTTTCATGCTTGTTGCTACTGTGGGTTGGTAAAGCATAAAAGACAACCTTTTCTCATGCAAAGGCTATTAACATCAGCATATTATGGCTGTAGAATTAATTGGATATTACCATAAGCAAAAGAAGATGCCCATGCGTTCAAGCTGCCACAGCTTGTTGAGTTACTTTGCATTGGATAAACAGTAGTCATCACCTTCAAATAAATTCTTCAGCTGCTGCAGAGTGCAGGTGAAATGCATTCATTCAGGTCTTTCTTGCTGTATTATAAGTGAATGAATTTACCTTTTGCCGCAGAAAAAGTGTGTGGCTGTTACTGTAGTTACCGCAGTACCTGGATTTCACGTGAATCTATGTTGTCAAAATTAACTGGGGGTAAATATGGTATTTTGTCATGACAGTAGTTAAATTTACTGACCTGTGTACGCAGGCAGAGCTTTCGCCTGTCAGTGAGGAGGATCAGTCCAACCTATAGACTTAGGACTTTTATAAACACCAGTGTCATACCAGTTAAAATGTAACCAGGTTTAAAACAACTTTAGATAAATCAGTGTAAACTCCCTGGACGTAGATATATCAGTTTAAATATAAATGGTGGACTTAGCCTGTGCTTGTCAGGTCAAGTCTGCCTTTAGCCATGGACAGATTATTCACTTTACGGTAGCTGTGCCCATTAGGAATATGACCTCAACCCCTCTCACCATGCCTGCCCTTACAGATCTGCTAGTAGAGTAAGTCATGTAAGTATAAAAATAGTTCAGGTTTATAACTATAAACAAATTTAATTTGCTTAAAAGATGTGGCCTGAAATGGCTAACAGAGGATCTGGCTTGCTTTGGCTTGTTTTACTGTCATTTCCTTTCAACTGGCCTTGCTGTGGAGACAGTAACATCTTCATCCAGAACAGTTACTGCCCAGCCAGAGGACATCTGTCTGTGGCTTTGGGATTGCCAGAGAAAACAGTTGCCTTAACTTGTTTATTAACTGTGATCAGTTTAAGCTAAGCCTACCTCAAAAAGGAAAATTGTACAACCCAAGTTAAAATCTTAGTAAATGCTTCATGAAATGCTGCTTCTATACCTTTTTTGGTATCTTTAAGTGAAACATAGTTGGTATCAGAGAATGAAGTACCTGTGTATGAAGAATCTCATAAGAATACTTGTTGCCCCAGTGAATATAAAATAAATAATTTAAAAAATAAAACTATTTAAACAAAAGTAGTATGATATTTAGAACTGTGGCTTATTGGCACTTGGTTTGTGTGGACTTCATTAGAGCCCAAGAGTTTAAAGACTCATAAAGTGAGAGGTGGAGCCAAATATAATTGAGCAGTAGGATACCTATTGCGTGAGTGCTGTGACACTTACAGGTCTGTCTTCTGTTCTCAGATCCCTCTGATGACGAATGGGAAGAACTCTCCAGCAGTGATGAAAGTGACTTGTTTATGGAAAACTCATATAATGAGGGGAGCGGGCTACTAATGTCACCCCTGTGCCTGTCTGATGAGGTTAACTCAGCGTTTCTGAACAACCTCATTCCACAGAAGGTATTGTCTTTTATTTCCAACACGTGGTACAGTCTTTCCCTTGTGCCTGATTTGTATCCCAGGTTAGGCAAACAAATTATCCCAATCCATCTGCAGAAAATGAAGATTTTTTTAAATCAGTGTAGCTTCACTTTTGTTGGCCTAGAGGTGGAGCATCATCACATGAGCTGTCTTGACTTAAATAATCTCTTCATGTAAGTAGGAATACAAGGTTCATGTGTTTCGGAAATCTGGTGGTGTTTTTTGTTTGGTGTTTTTAATTTGGCTTTTCCAAATTATGAAGGTGGATATTCCTTGATCTGGACATGAAAAAGATTTCCTGCAAAAAGAAAGGAAGGTTTGAGTAGAAGCATGACTGCCAGATTTCCATATTAGCTGAGTGAGGTGGAAGTAATATATCTGAATGGCAACAGTCAGCACTGAAAAAGTGCAAGTTCCTTTTTCCCTGTTTTTTTACATAGTGTCTGAAGTACAATATTTGACACTGACAGGAATTCAGATGTTCTTGTTTCAAAGTAGTTTTGCTCATTCTTATTTGGGGTTGTAAGGGTGAAGTTCATCATTTGAATCACTTACTATGCTAGTTCAACAGCACTGTAGAATTCTGACCCAAGACATCAAGGTGTGAGATGAAAACATTGAAGGCTTTTTGTACTTAATAGCAAGCAGTCTAAGTTTCATGGTAAGGTCTTTTAGACTTGCAGCTAGCTGAAAATTCTGCAGCAGAATCTGTAAGAAGGATCTAAATAAAAAAGAATAGCGGAGACCTAGGAAATTACTTTTTGTTCAGTACAGCTGGATACTTAAAATATGCTATGCTAAACCCGGTGTATAATTGCACCATTTAAATGATTGAGGAAGATTCTGGCATTTTTAACAGGTGAGACACGTGCTACCTGGAAAGCTTTGAAATATGTAGTTTGAAGTATCTGACATTAAGCTAAAATACCAGTCTTCCCTCCAAACACACTTTTAAAAAAAAAAAAAAAAAAAAGCCTTATTGCTAAACCTTTCTTTTTCCCCTCCTCAGATTCTTGAAAAAACTGCTTTTCCGAACAGTGTTGCTCTAGACATCTGTATGCACAATCCGTCTTGGAAACCATTAATTAAAAAGTAGGAATTTCATTGTCTCTCTTACTATTTTTCATGTATATTCAGTTGTTTTAGAACTCTTAGAAGGATTGTCCATCTTTGGGTTACTTTTAAGATCTGCACAATGGCAGTTCTGATACATGATTTTGAATAAAGAGATACAAATGTTTCTGTAAACTGCACACTGGATCATAGTCTTATTTAATTCAAGATCCTTCTTTGTATTTCAACATCTGCAAAATGCATTTTTTGTTTGTTTGTTTCAGACTGAATGCAGTGCAGTGTAGAGCTTTAACATGTCTTCATAGCATTTTATTAGTGTCAGATGTGGATTGTCTTGGAGGAGCTTCAGCACTTCAGTCCCTTGCACAGCATCTCTCGCAGCTAGTCTTTTCCAAAATGGGTAAGATGCTTAGTAAAGGGGGCTTGCTGACCCCTCCTTTGCTGATCATATAGGTATAAGGTAGCCATGTACGTTAAGCTCTAACACCATTTTATTACTAATTTTATCCCTTTGGCCTTTCAAAATAATGATACTGAATGTTGGAAATGTGCTGACAGAACAGCGTATCCTGATAAGACGGGTTTATCCAAATTGCATCTTGAGCAAGTATGCTTCTAATGCAAGAATAGGCTTTACATCTGTGTCTGCACACGGAAAGTCACTAAATCTGTGGATGAATCCTGCCTTGCTGTGAGACCAGAGCTGTTTGCTTGATCATATTTGTAATAATAGCAGGTTTTCATCAATCAGACAAACCATGAAGAAGATGGGACATTTTCTTTTTAAATGTGCTAACTAGCCTAAATAGACATGTGAAAAAAAGGGTATCTAGCACAGTCTTTTCACATAATTTTTCCAGGAACCTTACGAAGTTACTGCAAAGGTGGTTGTTGCAAAAATCTCAAGAATGTGCATGCTTACTACAGTATGAAGAAGAACACCCACCTTGTCTCCAGTATATGCTTTATGCATATGATTGCACAGTGTTACTGAAAAGATGTTTGTAGTAAGAAGATGTGCAAAGTTTTTATGACTAAATATTAAAGCTGCTCAACTTCCTGTTATGGTGGTGGTTCAATTTCAGTAGAGCAGGCAATATATTTAATTTTTCTAAAAGTACTATTCTAGAATATCAGATACATCCTGGTAAACACTAGAATGTGTATCCCCTGTAGTTCGTCCAAAACACATTATTTCGTAGAGATACTGTGATAGCTTCCCCATACACCTTCTAGTTATCAGTATTATTGGATGCTCGAGTGTAGATATGCAGCAATTAGCATTTCCAGCTACCTCCTGTAATCTTATACATCAGATCAGCATCATTCCAATAATACTGTTGGACCGTTTATGCTATGATCTCTCTGTTACTGATGCTCGAGAAGCTGAACTGCGATCAAAAAAAGGGGCAAAAAAACCCCAACCCCAGACTGGTTCCAAGCTGATGATCTGGTTCCCTGACAGGCTGCTTCATTCAGGCTATTCTGATAATGTGTTTTTGTTTTAAGGTCAATGATGATGGCTTTTCAAAAAATAAGAGATATTCTTAGAGGCTGGAAAAGCCTGCCAATTCTCAAAATTGTCAGAAAGCATTTTTCCTAAAACAGATCTGCTGAAGTCTAGCATATGTATGGCTTTGTCATTTCTTGTCTCTTAGAAGCTTGAGAAGCTCAATTTTCTTCCCTTCCTTCAGGCATCTTCATTTGTAGCTACAAATGTGGTGTATGTAGTTCTTACTTGCTGTAGTGTATAGTATGACACTACGTTAATGCTTGAAAATGCATCTGCCTGCAAAACACGCTTTTTTCTCAGTGTCATTAAAAACACATGATCAGTCTATGGGAACATTATTACTGAGAATGTAGTGCTCGAAAAACTAAAATACAGGAAATGAAAATAAATATGAAGGCATATGCATGTAAGTTCATATAAAATATTTGTTTTGTGGTTGAAGAGCAGGACTTTCAGGATTTCGGGGTCTACATGTTATGCTTTGCAATAGTCGGAAAGTTCTTAGATGAAAATGAGGAAGTGGCTAGCTGAAGACAGTGGGTGCTAATAAATTAGTTTAATGGCCCAGATCCATTTTCATTAATATCTTTTTAATAGTTAAATGCAATGTAATGGAAACTTCCAGATAGAGTTGATAACATACTGACATGTGGTCAGTAGGAATTATGTGGTTAATAGGGTGAAAAAGAGGCTGAAAGCTGCTTACATAGGAAAGGAGGAGATAGGCATGAAATAATCAAGACAGGTTCTGCATCTGGACTGGTCCAGAAAACAAGAACACATCAGAGGAGAATAAAAAGCTTCAAGAAATGCAGAACATGCATTGAAGATGATGTCTGATATTGATGAATTTGTAGTTAAACAAGAATAATGCAGTGTTTGAGTCATAGATTTCTGAAGGGTTAATAAACCACCAGAAAACATGCTCTTTATATGAATTGGAAAGAGTCCAGTGTTCTGGATGTCTAACAAGCCTGCTTGAAATAGAGAAGAAAGGAGTTACAGTATTCAGTCAGCTTCTGTCATTTTCTCCGTTCCTGTACTGTGGCCTCTGTGTGATACCAGTTTTCAAGCTTCTGCTTGGATGGCAGTGGTTTCTACCATATGTTAGGTCACACGAGTGTCTTAACCAGGGACATGCCTGAAAATGAGCACCAACTGTGGTCTAACCTCCAGATGCAATTAATACTGAATTCAAACAAATCACTATGGTTACAACCTACAGAGACCAGCCTCTGAAAAGCTAGCTCTTCCTGTTTGTGGTAGTACCTGGAGGAACAATTAAGGGATCAAGAAATTCCTATTTTTTTGTTTCTTGTATCCTTCATCTTACTGTTTAACTTTTGGCTCTGGGTTCAACTCTGTAACAGAACTCCCCACGGACACAGAATTCCTGGAAGCCATTACCAGCGCTTTGAGGGCTCTCCTACAAACAATGGCATCAAAGAACATCTCTCAGGTAAAAACTTTCAAATGCTATGGTATGCTCAAATTCATGTGAGATTGTGCTGGAAAGTTTTTGAAACAAAACCATTTAAATGAAGAGCTAAATTTCAGCAACTGTGAACACTGAAAGAATAGATTTAATAGCATGCATTCTTTGTGTTTTTGATGGACCTTACAGGAATTCTTTTTTATATATCTCCTCCTTAATATATAAACAGATAAAAGAGATTTCAAAACCAAAACAGCAATAATCCACAGGTAGTATGTTTAGGAGACGGATATAATGACAAGCATTTAGTAAATTAGTACCTAGAAATGTGGTTTCTTTATTTCCTGATGTCATCTAGGTAAAGCTGGTTGTCCTTCTAGAATCTTGGTTGAACATGAATTAGGGAGCTAAATGTAGGAATAAAGCGTAATAGTTTGTTATACAAGGTGTAATACTAGATGGTCTGCTGGTCCTGTCTGGCTTTAAACTGAGAAATTAGCTTCTGTACTATTAAGATGTAATCAGTTGGAAATAGCTATTGAGCCTAGGTAAATTTGTGAAAGTATCTTTGGGCTCAGAACATTTTCCTGCAGCTTCAAGGCAGCCTTGGTCATTTTATGGAAGAAACACCTTAAGAAGTTGAAAGGGAGAGTTTAACTGTTTTCTTGCTGTTTACATTTTCAGAATTCGTGTAGTTTTCGTAATACAGAACTCTGTTTCTCAGTTACAAATTTGCCTGTTTTCTGTAAAAGCAAATGATATAAATGTCATATGCAAATTGCCATGAAAATGTAATTCTGTCTTCCTTTTTTTATTTTTTTGGTTTTTTTCCCTCCTGATCAACAGTGTATGACTCCTGAGCAGCTACTGGCTTTATGTGAAGCGGGTATTCACAGCAGCAATGTCAGTGTTAGAGTGAATGTAGTGAGCATCCTTGGAATTTCTGGCAGCGTCCTGGCGAAAGGACAAGATACAGCTGAAACACTAAAGGTGAAGAAGCAAACTTTGCATTGCAAGCCTAAACCAGTTTTGATATTTCTTCCCATTTTCTTAAGAATTGCTGGAAAAATCAATTTTTCTCTCATTTCAGATGATTGGAAAATTTCTTCTTGAGGTAGCTATGAAGGAATCTTCTCTTGTGGTAGCAGGGGAAGCCTTGGATGCGCTTTTTGATGTATTTGCAGATGGTAAAGAAGCAGAAAAGGCGGCAGTACAGATCAAGTTGCTTCCAGCACTGAAAAAATTTCAGCCAGTGTTCAAAATGAGGGTAGGCATCAAATGCAGCCAGCTCAGGGTCTCAACACACAATGTGGGTTAAAGCTTTGAGATTTGGGCCACTAGGAGAGAGAATTAAGCAGGAATATATGGCTTTATAAGGTGGCCCCCCCCCCCCCCCCAAAAAAAACCCCGAAAACTAATAATTGAATTCCTTATATTGTGCTTTAGAGGAAAGCAAACACACTTACCTTGCAGTTCATGGAACTGTCAGGGTAACAGCGTAGCATCTGCATTATACCATCAGCATTATTGATGTCTAAACCACTGTATTGTTCTGAAACCCTTGTTAAAAAAAAAAACAACAACAAACAAACAAAAAAAAAACCCCACACAAAATCCTGTAGATGTCTCAGGAGGAGAACAGCTAAACTGGTGGGAGAAAAGTTCCTTCTGAAGTTACATTGACATCTTTCGCTTACTGTAGTTGCAGGTGGACATTTTTCTTCTGTTGTTGGTTAATTAAAATAGATCATGTATTCTGTATTTTCAAGAATCACAAGGCCGAAATTCTAAACTTTAATTTTCAGATACATCCTTGTCTTAGAGAACGAGCTTCAGTATGTTGTTTCTTTAGTCAGATGAAGCCTGAGGAGTCACTTTTCATAGTCTTAAAGCTAAGGACTTACACACACAAAATACATACCTGACAGTGCTACAGTTGCTTGGTTAGTTAGATGTGCAAGGCCTTTCCTATGAAAACCTACAGAAAATAAGTGTGTGTTTAAAATTTAGGAGTGAAACAGCATGCCAACGGTAGCCTAGTGTTAGGCAGATATGTATTATAGTAAATTGACTTGCAGAAATAATTGCTAGCTATGGAGGTGCACATGTGAACATGCTGGAGTTCTCAAAAGACGTGGGTAGCATCTTTTTAGAAGACCTATATCAAATTACTATAAACTTCTGGTGATCTAATAGGAGAAACTTCTCCATTAGTAAAGTATGTATTTTTTGGTTTTACAGATGCGAAAAGAAGGCAAAGGACAATATAGTACAGATCAACTTTGTGTTCTTGACAATGTGAAGATGAATTTGAGAAGATTCATTGCATATCAGGAGACACTAGGGAAAACCCCAACTTGAAACATCGAGGAACTTTAAACTAAGGTTTCCCTTATTGAGTAATGTTTTCCAAAAATATAACCATTTTGAACTTCGAAAATGTATCGAGCAGAGCAGTTTTGCTTTCATGTTAATACTGCATTTTTTTTAAGTTCAGTATTTTTATACTTCTGGGTTGATGCAATATGAAAGTCACATCAACGTAAAAACACATAGCATACTTTGAGATTAAGTGTTAGCAGGGATAAGAATGTGCCCTTGCAGTCCTGAGGCCTGTACATAGCACCATTGTCACTGTTTAGAAATCCTCACATATCCTGGAGGAAAACTGTAATTGCATGGGAAGGTAATTTAGAGAATAGTCTTGGTTATGTGCCAGATAAAAAAAAAATTTTTAAAAGCTCAAGTTATTTTTCAGGGAATTAAGCAGTGGCAGAACATTCATATTTGTTATTTGCTCTTACCTATTTCTGGAATTGCAGAGGCACTTATGGCAGACTTCCCAAGAGAAGTGTGTGACAAGTGTGTAGATTACTGTCAGCACTTGGATCTGTTACTTCATGAGGTTTACTGAAGAGAGAACTGTTTCAGATTCATTTATGATAATTGCTGTGGAAATCAGTGTAAGAGGATCCTATGCTTACACGCAGCTCCCTGTTTTTACTTTATTTTGATTGGTATATCTGAAAATCCAATATGATTTACTTTCTTCCTTGTAATTCTACATCAGGATGAATTTGAATTCAGGGAAGTAAACCTAGTAAGTATTTTTTTATATTGAGATATTATCTAAAGTAACTTTCTAATTGCTTAAAATATCTTTTTCAATTACTTGTGATAGAGATTTTTAAGCTGTAAAATACGGAAACTATTTTCAAAAAATGTCACCGATTAAGATTGTATGTGAACTTCTACATATCAAAAGCTTTGGTTCTGTTTCTGTGAATGAGATCCTCTCATCCACAATTTTATAGAAAAAAATCCCACAGACACTAAAGTATTTTGTTGTGCTGATTTTTTTAAATAGGAGGGTTTTTTTTCCCCCTTCTTAGCACAGGCATCTAGCATTTGGCAAAACTTTGCCCACAGTGTTAGGTGTGGAACTACAAAGACCAAATTTTCTCTGTTAGTTTTTGGTCTCTTAGATTGGAAAGCAGGCTTGGGAACTGATGGGATAGCTTGCAAATGACTGACTTTATGCAATTTTGACATATGGTATTTTGTCAAATGCAAGAGAAAGTGAAAAATGAGTTTAAGCAGCTATACTGCCTTGGAAGTCCTGTTATTGCTGGAGGAGTCTAGGAGAAGTCCCGAGGAGCACGGAGCGGTTGAAAGGTTATCCTGGGATTTGGCAGGGGCAGGCAGCAAAGAGGGCTGGAGCGTAACAGCTGAGGAAAGAGTAGCTAGGTGGATTATGGCATAAGACTGCACAGCGTGTGGATTTTAATCCTAGTGTTAGTTATACTTGCTGTACACTGAGGATAGTATAATATTAGCCTGATAAAAGGTATTAATATTTGTTTGGAGCACTTAAAAGGACTTTCACACAGAAAGTTCTGCTCTCATTTTCTGTGTGCTACATTGAATTACAGGATGATCGAGGTTGGAAAAGATATCTGGAGGTCTCTTAGTCCAGTCCCCTCCTCAAAGCAGGACTTACTTTGAAATTAGGTTGTCCTCGGCCTTGAGCAACTCAAAGGATGTAAATCCCAAAACTCTGGGCAGCCTTTTCCATTTCTTGACCACCCTCCCTGTGAATGCTTTTTTTTTTTTTTTCCTTTTTTTTTTTTCTTTTTCCCTTTGTATCTAGTAAAACTTCCCCCTGCTGCAAAATGCACCCCTTGTCCTTTGACTGCACACTGCCAAGAAGAGTGGCTCCGTACCCTCTTACAACCTCAGTTTCCAGTTGAAAACAACAATTGCATTCTCCTCTTCTCCAGGCTGAATAAACCCAGCTCCCTCAGCCCTTACTTGTTCATCATGTGCTCTAGCCCTCTACCATCTTGGTGGCCTTCTGCTTGACCTGCCCTACTGCGTCTTGTACTGGGGGGCCCAAAACTGGACATGGTGGTCTAGATGTGATCTCATGAGTGCTGATCAGTTTTCTTGACCTGCTGGCCAAGCTTCTGCAGTGTAGCCTGTTACTTGCCAGCTGTCGTCACTGCAAGGGCGCACTGCAGACTTCTCTTCAGCTTATTATCCATCAGGACCCTTCCCTCCAAAGCTGCTCTTTGGTTATTCATTCAAGAGCCTGCTGTTTTATGGGATTACTCTGTCCCAAGTGTAGGACTTTGCATTTTACATTAAGTGTAGCTGTCAGAATCTGGTTCCTGGGGACTGTTAGAAAAATGAAGTACATTATTTTTTGTTTAGGGTGAGTTTTTTGGGGCTACTAAATGAGAAGAGATGTTGCATCTTCAAATATGAATCTGAAAGTTGCAGATAAATATATAGAAGATTGACCATCCACTAGAAGACCTGGTTTTCTTAATATAATCTATCAGACCCTGTTTTTTTCCTTCAAGTGGAGACAGGCATTTAGATATTAAAACTATTCCAGCAGTAAGATGCATGGATTATTTTTTTTGCTATGCAATAATCAGTTGAATGTTTTACAAAAAATAATTTGTGTCATCATAAGATAGGTGCGTAGTATAAATGATATCACTTGCATACTGCTTCTGATTTTTAGTGCTTAAAGTATTTGCTTTTGTCTTCTGGTGCACATGCCATTTCTAGCTAATAGCTGAAAGAGAAATTAGGACATACAAAACCATTTTGATTTCTTGTGAGAGTTTGTACTAAAGCCCTAACATACAAAAACTAAAATAATCCCTTCAGTTTCATCTGAGGAGACCAGAGCACCTTAGTGGGCCTGTTTTAGCTGAGGGCATGAAACACTGGTGGCTCTGACTCCAGCTCATCAGATATGTTTGGGTTGACAGGTAAACTGTAGCCTTGGGAGGTGTTTTTGTTTTGTTAACCTCATCACTAATATTAATGATACTTTTACATGTGATTACCCAACACCCCATGTTGTGAGACCATGTCAAAGTCCACTGCCCTTACCAGTGGCCCATAGCAAAATAGAACCCTCATCTTCCTTTGTAGTTTCTATGATATTATAGTTATCTAATAATAATCAGCCAGCAGCATATTTTGATGTCCATACTTTTTATTTCTCTGAATAAGAAAATCTTACTCAATCACCTTCCTAGCTACCAGTTCAGTCTAACTTGCTCTTGGTGTCTGGTGGAGGGCTTATGACTGAATGAGAGGTGGTGATTTTCTACGGTAATTTAAAAAGCACATTCTAAGGGACAAGATAGAAGATAATAGGAAAAGCATGGAAGACTTTTGAAGACTTTTGTCTGTGGAAGACAGGGCAAGTTATTGGTGATTTAAAGAAGTGTCAGATTGAGGCCTAAAATCAGATGAGATTTATAAGTATGGAAGAGCTAAGCTGTAAGACTGAGGCTATAAAAGTTGTTCTGACACAGTTAAGGAAAATTAAGACGGCAGCAGAAGTGATGATGTGGTGCAAATTAAATATTTTCGGGGCTTTTTTGGCACTGGTTTATTTAAATAGATACAGGGTGAGCTTGAGATGAAGACAAGATCCTTGACAGCCTATAAAGGCAAAGCCAGGTCTTAAAGATACTTTGAGGGTGGCAGAAATTGGACTGCTAGACAGTGTGCAGCATAAGTAAATAGATGCTAAATAGATGTAAGTGATCTTCATCAGTTCATGTAATCACACAGATAAGACTGGTATCGAAACAGGTATCTGAAACTGAATTTGTTTGCCTATCCTAGTCCCTAAGGCATCATCTGTGCTTCAATTAAAAACTGCAGTCCTTTGAAATAATGGATTGCTGCTTTATTTGTCTCCCTGTCTGACACCTAGCACAACAGAATCTGGCTCTGAGTTGAGATTTTATACCAAAATAGGTGCTGAATTTAAGGCAGTCTATGGTATAAAGTAAAGAGGGCTGTGGGCTCCCTGCCCCGTTCAGAACAGTAGGACCGGTGGCATTTCCTGCTGCTTTGGCCTCTCTGCAGCCTGCAAAGTGTTGAATCCCCAACTGTGTAGATTAGGAGTTATCATTGCTATGTGGTTTTATTTTTGCTCACCATGTAAAGAAACAAGTGGCAAGACTTAAATAAGCATTTGTTGTGAAATACTTTTTATACATCATGCCTTGACATTCAGAAGATGGCTGTATACAACATAATGGTCAATAGTTGAACTATTTGGTGTTTATGGTGTGCATTGAAGGTATTTTTTGCCTTTTAAAAAAAAAACAAAAACAAAAACATTGTCATTGTAGAGGAACAAGAATAACTTTAACTAGTACTACCTAGCTTGGTTTTACATTTGTATTTTGAAAGAAAATATTAAAAAAAAAAATCAGAGCACAGTAAAATTACAAAATGAGAACTGTAGGAGAACAAATTAATTTAAAATTTGCTTGTAGTTTAAGTATTATAAATGAAATGCATGTCTTGTGGAATATTAACAGAAAACAACCAACCAAAAATGCATATAAACTCAAGTTCTGTTTCCTTAGTAAGTAATTTTCAGTAAAAGCATTCCCAGAGGATTAGATAGAAATGTCTAGCCTTACATTTACTGTTGCAAATTCAAATTCAGGCAATGGTAGTGGTAATTGAAAATAACGTGACTGTTACTTTCTGGCACAGATGAATCGAGCAAACAATCTAAATACAGTTTGCGTTGGACATACTGTTAAGATATATAACATTAAGATAATTGGCAAAACCTGAAACTCTTGACAGTCCCAGCAGATGAAGGAACTTGGAAGTTTTTCCATGACAGCTGCAACATGGTGAGCCTTTGTTTGAAGAAGCTTTGACTTGAGCAGTGAGGGTTTTTTTGTCTAATTTCCAAATAAATTCAAACTTAACTTTTGTACCTTCTGGGAAAAATAGCATGCATTTAAATCAATACACTCCATTTTGTTTCTGTATTATTTTCCCAAGTTCCTTGTTTCTATTAGAGGCATTTTGTCAGACATAATTCAGTGACCACAAAAAAACATAGTTTGAGACTTATACAAAAAGGGTATGGTAAGATGCTTTTTTTTTTTTTTTTTTTTTAAATCTGGGTGTCAGGAACTCCTTGCATTACTGGTATATTAAGGGCTTAAATCAAACTGCTTGTGAGCTGAAATAAGATACCATTGTAATAATCCGTACGCTATTAGAATGATTGTGGCTGCTATATGTTCTCAACAGAACGGAAGGTCCCAGTGCAGCGCTGGTGTTGCGAGGTGCTCATGTAAATACCTATGCAACTTTTAAAGATGCACTGGGATTTTAGTATACACTCTCCTGATTTTGTGTTCCTTTTTTTGACAAAAATCCTGGTGAGGATTCTTTGTTTTCTTCTTCCTCTGATGTGAATTTTTTTTTTTGAACTTTTAAGGAAAACTGCATTGACCTCTTCCCCACCTCTTGATGGAGAGTGACAGGCACTTCCAGAATTTAGCTGAAGAATGGCTGATTCAGCTATAAAATGCATGATGTTTTTAAATAACCTTTTCTGGGAAGTTCTCTTTTTAATAAGTAAAAGAGTTAAAGTTCAAAGTCATGATTTAAAAAATCAATTTGATGATATTCAAGTGGGGTGTTTATGTTGGGTTGGGGGGGGTGTTGCTTTTTTTTTTTTTAAATACCTGATAGGTATACTCCCTAATCTAAAGCCTTTGTGGTACTACGCTACCCATGCTGTGTCCTGGCTTGATTTGTTTGGGATTAGGGTTTCTACTGAGGAATCCTGTAAATGATTCAGTCCTCAGTCCCACAACAAAATTTGTTTACATTTAAGTTTACAGAAGTATAGAACAAATCATTGTTTTTTGCAGAATTAGCTTTAAAAAAAAAAACAAACAAACAAAAACCAAAACCAGGTATTTTTTGTTACTTTTATCTCCTTAATGATAACATGAAATAATTTTTTAGGCTTATGCTCATTTTACTGTGTTGTGCTTTTAAAAAAAGTTTATGAATTGAAACCTTTTTATTTGCATCTTTGATGTAAGAGGAACATCAGGCTAGTAATTTTCTAGCTACCTTTTTTCTGGTATAATTCTCAGAATAGCTGAAGTATGTGGGTTTTGGAAAACAGGGTTATTTAGGGTAGTTTTTTTCCAATTCTAAGCTGTGCTTAAGTCTCACCAGTTTCTACTTGACTTTTGATGGTAGTTTTAGGTATAGATCCTAATTCTCAAAGCAGTTAAGTCTGTCAATCAAAAACCAAATTTCACCCTACAGCTTCTTGCTGTAGCTGGGTTACTTTTGGACACTGCAGGTCAGATGCCCTGTGACAGCACCGATGAGGGCTTGAGGCCAAAATGTCCTACTCTGAGCTGGTGGGGAGAAGCCAGAACTTTAGTCTTTAGTCGTTATCAGTAAGTGGTGCTAAGAGTTATTTACAAACTGTCCACCTCGGAATCCTTGGAATTGAAATGCAGCTTTTTAATTCCAAAACCTCCACCTATGTCTTCCTAAAGAGAAATCCTCTCCCACGCATTTTTTAAACTATGCGAAGTACCAGGCCCTCCATGCAGCATGCTGGAAACTTTCTAGCTGGAATGAAAGATGCTTTAAGGCTGTAATATGAAAAAAACTAAAAATAAAACTGAATCTGACCACAACTTGTGCTACTAAACGTTGCCGTTTGCTGTGTTGCGTGGATGTGATGTGTTTTTCCCTCTGCAGAAGCGTTGGCTGCACAAGTATGGCACCTAGGCTATCTTTTCCTCTCCTTCGGAGCTGAATGAAATGCAGGAAGACCTAGAAGTATCCCTAACTGTCCCCAAACAGAGTTAGGGGAGCGCAGCGGCGGCTGACGGCGTGCGGGACGGGTAACGCGCCCGCAGACGGGTACTGGTACGCTCGCCGCCCTTGCCGCCCGCGCACGGGCGCCCGCCGCCCGCCTTGACAGCAGCAGCCCCGCCGCGCCGGCCCGGGCCCGCCCCGAGCCTCCCGCCGGGGCCTCGGCCCGCGGCCGCTGGTGCTGGGGGAGCCGGGCCGAGCGCTCGTGCCCCGGCCGCGGCCCCTCCCCGCCCACGGAGCGCGGGGCCGGCGCCTCCCCCGGCAGCCCGCGGCCGCGCTGAGGGCCGGCGCGGCCCGGAGCGGAGCCGCTGCTCTCGCCCGAGCGCCGCCCGGCCCGGCCCGGCCCGGCCCGGGGGCTGGGGGGTGCTCGGCGTCGCGGGGGCCGAGGCCGGGGCCGCCGCCCCCCTTCCATGCGCGCGGCCCGTGTGCCGGCGGCCCAGCCGGGCCCCGCCTCGCCGCGCTCGCCAGGAGGGGCGGGGGCTGTGGAGCGACGGCAGCGAGCAGGCAGGCGCGGAGCTGCCCTTCCATAGGAGCCGCCATTAGCGCTGGGACCCGGTGACAGGGTCTCGGCGTCGGCGGCCGGCGCGGCGCGGGGAGCGGAGGCAGCCGGGGTGGGTCCCCGTTTGATGGATCCCCGGATCGCCTGGTTCCAGCCAGAGCAGCTCGGCCCCTCGAACCGCCTGTGGATGCAGATCTGGGAGACCACGCAGGGGGTCCGCAACCTCTACTTCCAGCAGCAGCAGCAGCAACAGCAGCAGGAACAGCAGCAGCACCAGCAGCAGCAGAGCGCCCCCGCCGGGGCCGGCCCGGCCTCCCCGCCCGGCATGTACCGCGCCCCCCGCGCCGACCCCCAGCCCGACTTCCTGCCGCTTGAGAGCGCCAACAACCAGCACAACCGCAGCCGCCACCAGGCCTCGCCGCCCCCGGGGGCCGCCGCCTGGGCCCGGCCCGCGCGGGGGGGCCCGCCCGCCGCCGCCGCCGCCGCCGCGGCCGCCAGTAACAAGAGGAAGCGCGACAACAAGGCCAGCACCTTCGGGCTCAACTACAGCCTCCTGCTGGGGCCCCCCGGGCAGGGCCGGGCCCCCGCCCTGGGGGACGAGCCGGCCGCTCGGGCCCAGGCCGGCCTGGCCGAGCCGCTCTACACCGGCACCCCCTGGAAGAAGAGGAACTACAGCCAGGGAGTCGTGGGGTGAGCCGGGCGGGCGAGGGGGGCGCCGGGCAGCAGGCAGCGCCGGGCCTGGGCCCGGCCCGGCCTCCGGAGGAGGCGGGGGCCGCGGTCCTCTCCGCCCCGGGGCCGCACGCCGGGGCCGGCCCGCAGGAACGGGGCGGGGGACGCTGGGCCGCGGCACCTGAGGCGCGACGGCGGGGCGCGGCCCAGGCCCCGGCCCCGGCGGGTGGCGCAGGACGGCCGGGCCGGGGCCGCGGGGCACCGCCGGCGGGGGGAGGGGGCGGCGGGCCGCGGCCGCGGCTGTCAGTGCCCGGCGTGGCGCGGGGAGCCGGCCTGCGCTGGTGCCCGCCGGCCGAGCGGCCTGCGGCGGGGCAGCTCCGGGGCGAGCGGCGGCGGCGGGCCGGGCTGCGGGGCCGCCCGGGGCGGCGGCTCCTCAGGGAGCCTGTGTGTGAGGGGATAAACGCGAGTGGCCGGTGCCCGGGGCCACGCTAACGGCGCGGGCGCGCCTGCCCGCAGGGTCGGGGGCTCCTCCCGGCCCTTCTGCCGCCGCCGCGGCGCACGTGGGGCGTTGCGCGCCCCGCGGCCGGTAACGCGCCTCGCAGCTCAAACGCGGGTGTTCCGCTGGCACCCCGCCGCTCGCTTTGCGGGTGCTCCGGGCTTGCTTCGGGGGGCTCCCGAGGCGCCCGGTGCCGCTGCTGCTCACGCAGTCGGTGTGGGGCTGGGTGAGGCGCTTCGCCTGGCTGTCGCTCGGGCTGGCAGAGCGCTGCCCATCAGCTGTACAGGTCCTGCACGCCTGCCCTCCGCAGCCACTGCCAAGCACGCTTCTAAAGCTTTGTGCTGCCTGTGGAGCTATAACTTAAAAAAAAAAAAAAAAACAACAAAAAACAAAAAAACCTGCTGCTAAAGCACATAGACTAGGTAATTACACGGGGAGTGTGTTTTCTAAGATCTGGCAGAGAAGGTCTGCACGCATCCTGGCACCTGCTCTCAGAAATAAACTTGTGTGCATGTATGGAGCGTTATGGATCTCAGTATGGGATTATTACTGGTTTTCATGGATCTCTGACTGTGGAATGCGTGTGCTGATCTGAGTGTTTTGTCCGTGGTGTTTTTGTGTTAGCTTAAGTCTTATCGGTTGGCATTACACGAGCCCACAGAGATCGAGGGCAGGCAAACATGTATCTTCTGTTTACCTGAAAACTGGTTTGAGCCCTCCCTCCCCCCTTTTTTTAAACACGGGGATGGCGCTTGATATGGGTGATGTCCTGGATAAAAGCCACTTGGTAACTTCTGTGCCTTTTTTTTTTTTTTTTTTTAAAGTTCATGGTTTTCAAAATACAACCTTTGCCTTGACTCATAGCATACCCCTCCTCCTCATGGCAAGAGCACGTTGACGTGTATTTGACTTGTTAAGTACGGATTTCTGGTATGGTGTATGCAGGTGTAATACCCTTTCCAGTCCTTCTCCTTTACAAACAACTCTGGCTTGATTCCAGGGTTCAGATGGGGGAGGTGTATGGTGACAGTCAAAGGCCAGGAAGAGCTCATTTTAGAAATCAGTAATGATTTGGGTGCGTCAGTTTTTGTGTGCCCAACTTGTACCTAAGGGTCCTTCAGTCCCCCCTCCCACTGGAAAGAAAACATTTGACCTCTTTGACTTCTGAAATTGCTATGTTGTAAGGTTTGTCAAAATGACTATTAAAATTTGCTGGTCACTTTGGAAGATAAACTCTTACCACCTCTGGCTCCCTATTTTCTTGCCAGCTCCTGTATTACCTTTACTGCTGGGGTTATAATTTCATAAAATGACACTGCAGAAGTGTGCTATTTTAAGTTCTGTAGTTCCTATACATCGGAACCTTCTGTAAAGTTCTTCACATAACTTAAAAGTAATGTGTGCAAAGCATACCAGACACTTAATTTTTTGTAAGTTAGTTTTTGGACTCTGTTTATCTTCTAGCTTGTCACTTATTTACTTGAAGGTTGAGGAAAATTTTTAGAAGAGCCTTTCTCATCTCTCTGTCTTGTAAATCCATATATGTTTTCCCTTTATTGAAGATAGGGGGGGGGAGGAAAGGGTGAGCTTCAGTAAGGGATTAATAGTAATAATAATAGTAATAATAACAACAACTGTACCAAAGTGTTCAAGGTGGTGTCTGTTGCTAGAGTAGTATTTCACTTGAATCGGTTTCAAACTCCAAGTTGAAGCATGTTGTGGAGGGTTTTTTTTTAGTAGTATCAAAAAGTACTCAAATATGTTGGTCTGCATTTGGCTTGACTATCTAGTTTGCAGCATATATTTACATGAGGCTGAGGCTCTTTTTTAGCTATTTCCTTTGTTCAAAGTAGGGTAAGTTAGAGTGTCTCAAGATACACCCCTACATTGCTTTTCCTAAATTATGGAAGTAGTGGTGTTTGCTTCTAGAAAGCTGTTTATTCTGAAGGTATTTAGAGGCAGTTGGCTAACAAATCTCAAATGAAAAATTGTGAAAACGATTTATAAAAGGAGCTGAAGCCTCTTAGGAAAGCATAGAAAATGCTTAGATCTTGTGAAGATTGCAGTGTGACTGTCTGGCTGCTGGCAAGGCTGTGTGAAGCCTCCCCTGTAGCTGCTTGTGGTGTGCACTGAGGTGCTGCCATCGCTCTCGCATACAAGTTTCTTTTTAATAACTGTCTGTTGTAAGGCATCTGTCTTGAGACACTGGACAGTAATGATGGACGGAGAGGTTTGTAACCTAGCAAATGAGGTTGTTGCTAAGGGAAATATTTTAAATTAATTATTTCCAACATGATTTTCCATTTTGTGTTGGCTGGTTATAACAGTTATTGGGGAAAAAAAGACACCTGCAGCCCTATTACAGCATTACTTGTGTGTTAACAGATACCATTTTCTTCCCTGATTGTTTCAATGCAAATTGTGAAAAAACAGTGAAGGCTCTCAACACTTTTCCCTATATACCATCCTGTAATTTTGTTCAGTTAATCACTTAAAATTTTGAGTCTTCTGAATATGGCAGTGTTGCGGAACAGTCCCATTTTCAGAAAGGTTAGGCCTGACTTGCTGGCAAACACATTTGAAAGCTGACATGCGGCATTCGTGTTTCCAGTGCAAGGATGTCACTTGTGTGTACAGCTGTGCAAAACCAGCTCTGAATACTCAATTATATTGATCAGCTGTGTGGAAAAACAGTCCCAATAATTTTTAGCTAGTTGGACAGTTTACGTAAACACTTAACAGCTGTAACTAGGTGTCTAAAGATTTTAGGTCAGGTAAACATGTTGAAATAGTAGAGGTTTTGGTTAAAAGCTAAACAATCTGTTCAGTCAAATCTCTTGAGGTTTTTCTTTTCGGGTTTTTTATTGAGAGACATAATGTCTTAGTTCGTGCTGTTTATAAATACAAAGAGATAACTAATTAAAAAATAATTCACAGCAGTATTGTTTTTAATTTAAAATATCTTACAAAGTATGCACAATATTTGCTAACATTTACTAATGCTGAAACACTAACATTCAACACGTGGCTAGTTTTTACTCCCACAGAGTTAATGATGCTATTGTATTCATTGCATTCTGGCCTATCTTAAATATTTTACTTTAGTCTAAGTTTTCAGACTTGCAGTTCTAGTAATAATGTAGATGTCTGCATTA